TAAAGATTTGTGGGAAATCACAAAAAGGACTTAGTTGATAAATGAAATACAATAACAAGAAACAGGTAAACAAGAGTTTTAAAAAAATGGTGACTTGTGGGAAGAAAATGACAAGAGACATATACAAGCACTTAAGTTTCTAGTCACATTATGCAGATGATTGTCAGCTAGTTGAAATAGCAACAAAAGCTACTCCTAGAACAGTTTGTAACGTAGACCAGGAAAAGACCAATTGGAACTCACAATAATTTTGATCTTGTGGGACTCCAAGAAGGGAATGTCTGCAAACTTGTAAAGAACATCAAATACTTTCTTCTGCAATAATATTTAAGACACCCATAAGCAAAAAACAAACAAACTCAAGCAACTATATAATTTAACATTACCAAGCTGGTGGAATAAAGACATCACCTGGAAACCTGAAAGGCCATCTGAAGATACAGAAGCATCTTCAGCCTTCTGCTTTTCTTTCTCGACTTCATATTTAGGCTTCCATGTCTCCGTCCTATATGACTCAGCCACCTTCTCATCACTAGCTATCAGAATATTGTCAAAGAGAATGCCATCCTGCATTGTCCATATCTCAATACCGATAGCAGTAATTGGCTCAAAATCTGGTTTGTCAAGCTCAAAATAATCAGGGTTGTCTATCTGCTGTGGCTTCCAGATACCCTTGTAGTTCGGGTTATCAATTAAAGGTGCATGCCATTTTCCCTTATATGCTGGATTCCTCTTCATTGGCATCTTCCACTCTCCACAGCCAGGTGCTGCTTCACACTTTGGGTTGTCAATTTTCGGTGCTTCCCATTCTCCATCCTCTTCATCATCCCAGTCTTCTGGTTTTGTGGCTTCTGGATCATCAATTTCCTCAGGTTCATCATCCAACCATCCTTCCGGCTTGACAGCTTCCTCGTCTTCAATCTCCATTGGTGCATCTTCATCCCAGTCATCTGGCTTTACAGCATCAGGGTCTGGAATTTTAGCCCTCTCATCCCAGTCCTCAGGCTTCTTATCATCAGGATCAGGTATGGTCTTGGGTGGAATAAGAGCTGGTTCGAAGTCATCCGAAGAAAAGAAGTTTGCTTTTTTCTTTTCCTCTCCATCAATCAGAATTCTCAGCTCATTATCAGGTTTCAAAATAGCAGTATAGACATGAGAGAGTTTGTCAGATGGGACAGATGGAGGGTACTTAACGTGATGTTCAACAAACTTCCCAGTTTTGGGATTCTTGTGCTGAAGGATGAAATGCACCTTATTCGTGGATCCACATTTATCAGGTCCAAACATGATAGAATATGGAGAATCATTGTCAAATCCCTTGGAAGTCCATCCAGCTTCCTGGGGACGGAGGTACTTCAGATATGCCCCTCCACATTCAAGTCCATTCTGTAGTCGAACCTCAAACTGTAGAACGACAGTTCCATCCTTGAGAATGATAGGTTCATCAAGTTCCTTAACTATTGCGTACTTCCTAGCCTTCTCGCTCACAAGAAGTCCATAGTCTTCATGACCATCACTCTTAGAGTGTTTCCATAAACCTAGTCAAAACACAACTCTGTAACAAAATAGACATGGGGCACCAATGGATTGGATGAAACAAAAGATAGAAGTAAACCTAAAGCAGATCCCCGGAATCAATACCAAGAAGAGTGAGACTGAAGCAATAACATGGTCACCAACAGCATTGGATAACTCACGGTTTTACAAGACATTTCTATTATCCAAAATTTGACATTCAACATACTATTCTTTAGGTGCACAATGGGAAAGAACACCTTTATGATTATCGTATATATGTCACTCATACAGCATGCACATGTAGGGTAAAGTACACACTTCCGGCAGATTCTCAATGGTTATGAGAATTATATTAAATAATTTTCAAGATTAAACTGATCAATGAGCCATGGGCCCCAAGTAGCATAGAATTTTGATGCAAGAACAGGACCCACAATGTAACCAAAAGAACTCATCTTAACAAGATTCTAAAAAAACATATGATTGAATACAAAAGGAAAATACAAATATGTGATTGGATTTGACCACAGCCAGGACACATATCGAGGTAACAAAAACTTTGGACCAAAAGATTTCATTTAGTACAGAAAACAGAGATTTAAGCATATAACACTCATTTTCACTATATTGATTTTTATGTGACCAAGTTTCATTTTCACTATATTGATTTTTACGTGACCAAGTTCTTCTAAAAGTTCCAAAGGTGACTGACATTAGGTACTCATATCCACAAAGACAAATATAGAAATTCAAAATATTGATCAAGGCATAACAGAAATAAAAACCCAAAACATGTGAAAAGAGCCCACACAGTCAATAATTCAATCTCCAGATAGTAGTTTCTTCTATATATTTATCATGACTCTGTTTTCACTAGCTTACATTTGATGGTGTTTCTTCTATATATATTATAGCTCTGTATTGCATAACTCTCTAACTTCCTTTTCTATCCATCAACAGTTATCATCTATCATCAACCTAATTAATAAATAAGATATGACCACGACCAAAATCTAAGATTGACGTAATCAGGCATTGATATATCTGGAATTAAAAAAAAATAAAGAACTAAACAAAAAACCCTGTTGAACTTGTCCAAAACGGGGATCATTCACAATTTTTTCTGATGACGACATAGTCTTAACCAAGTTTGTGAATTCATTTCACACTAAAAAATGCCCAATATCCATTCAGGTCCTAAATAATCAATTAATTGTTGATTATTTTCATAGCCAATGGGCCCAACTTATATGGTCAAGTTGTGATAGGTTGATCAGTATCCTTTCATAAGGAATACATGAAGAAAACAACCTAATACCATACCATTTAATCAACCCAAAATTTAACAAGTCAACAATTGAAAGTTCCTTAAGTGATTAATCAAAAATCAACGAAGCACCTCCTGGAAATCCCAACTTAAAGGAGGTTCAACCAATAGCCCATGTTTGAACAAATTAATATGAGTAAGCACATAATTATCTTACTGAATATATCAAAATCAAGGTAGGAGATAAATCGTGGCAATTCCATAGAAGTGCAAAGTAAGGAGAATATCCCTGACAAGCTGACATTTAGATACTAAATTACATCCGCCAACACTGGAGATTTTTCAGTTAAAGACAAGTAATCGTACCAAAAGTATAAAAAAGTGTTTCAGTGGTGGTTTACTTTGTAAAACCAATATTTTCACTAGCAAACAAATCAAGACTAATTCAACCAATTTAAGGCAATGTAGTAGATCTGAATCATGTAATCCAAACAGTATATTTTAGCGTCTGCAACTCAAAAATACTACTACTTAGAGCAAATTCTCCATAGCAATAGTAAACCTTTCCTTAACAACTAACCATTAGTCCACCGCTTAGGTACCAAAGATACTTAAAATGCATATGACATCTCTACCAAACCAACAACACCCTTTCCAAGAAAATAAAAGAGTGGGGCCCTTCGTTACTCGCTTGTTGCCTACACAGAACCAGCTTATCATAAACACAAAAATATTAGCAATTATATACAGTGTAATAAAGCTGATCCACATTAGACTCTTTGAGTCCCAGAAATCTGAGCTTCCACTAGTTTATCATAAGTACTAGATCTCTTAGGTTCCACTAACATATCTTAATATAACGCCTCGTGGAAAAGATCTGGCAACAGTGACCACTGATCAATCAGAAGATTGTAAAAGCAAACAGCCAAAACTAAAAGACGAATTCTTTATTCCATGAGCGCAAGGATATCATTTCGAAGAGATCATCAACAGATCTGGAGGTAATGTTATACCTGTGTAGTCCTCCTTCTCGGACACGATCCATCGCCCTTCAAAAGGCTCATCAAACGACTCGTAGAACAACTGCATCAAACGCCACAAATCTTTAAACTTTGAGTCAAAAAAACCAAAGATTACGAGAACAATCCGCCGAGTGCACGAATTACCGGATCCGACGCCCAAATCTGGAGGAGAGAGGACGCGATGAGCAGCAGGAGCAGCGGCGCGGCCATCTTCCTTCCACCCATCGTGAAGGGAAACAGTGGATCCCGCAGGAACCCTAGCGCAAGATCGCGATTGGGAACGATGCAAATGAGAGAGCTAATGATCCGACGGAGCAGATGCACCCACGGGAACAGATCTCGTTCTCGCTTTCTTCCGTGCTTAGGAGGCGATGAGAGCAAGACGCATGCCGGTCGCGACCGTCAATAAAAGGTCTGTTACTGACTCGCTTCTGCCAATGGTATGAGATGCCACGTTGATAAGCCCAATAGAAATATGCCATGTCATCTTCCGGGTCCCTGTTGTCGAACAAGCTTGATCGCGGCGAAAACACGAAAGCATCGAAAAGGTACGATCGTGATTTATTATACATCGAAACGAACGGCGAGAATTCAATCCGATGACGAGTCGACGCGTGGCCAGGTTTAATGGATCGGATACAGATTGGCCCACCAGAGCCCGGATCCGACCAGCTATGGATCTGAAAGCGAGGATCCGCAGCCAACATAGCCAGATTTAAGAATCATACTTAGCAAAAGGCGAAGAATATTTAAAGGACGACTACCAATTTAATGATACCCGATTCAACAGTTTCAGTGAAACCAAGTTTAAGAATTATACTTAAGACAAAGAAAATATTTTTTAAAAAAAGAGACTGTATAAAATATTAGAAAACAGCTGATAATAATACCTCAATTGCATCAGTCTATAAATAGAATAAATATTTTTTAATAAAAGATAATAATATCAAAATTCTTATCAGCTATACTAACAAACACCTTCAAGTATTTTAATTTGACAAAGCATTAGATAAATATTCTACATCCATTTTTATATAAAAGAAAAACCTAGTTTTCCACAACTCTAAAACTACCTGCATATATAACCAAGGTAGCCTTACAAAAAAAAAAAAAAATTCGATTTCCATAAATCACATAAGAGAGAGTTCTTAACAAAATGAATGACAATGAATAAAATATTTAAGTGTCAAGATTATGTCCCAAAATTTTGAAGGAGGAAAATGGTTCCCTCAATCTCATGGTCAACTTAAGATTAAATCTAGAAATAAACAACAAGTTCAAAAAATTCAAGACATGTCAGGTCTACGTCTCCCTCCTGGACCTCCTGGGGCGCGGGGCTGATTCATCTTCTTTGTCAGTCTCTTTTTCCTCTTTGTTGCTTTCGGGAACTTCAGTTTCACCAGCTCTAGCAATCTCAGTTTTACTGATAGGTGCAGCAGGAGCCTGCAGAATGCGCAAAGGTCAACAAAAGGTAAAGATGGATTAAAGCCAAAATGACACACCTTGGGTTTCTCTCCTCCAAACAGAACCCTGGATATAACAGTAACTATAATCACCACAATGGATACCAGGATCCCAATAGTGAGGTTGGGTTGTTTCTCTCCCATCTCAATTGCATCCTGCATAAGAAATTAAATCAGACCTTAAACAAGTATAAATTGTTTGATGCAATTCAAGAAAAAGAAACACTAAAACTAATTAATTTTCTTTTTAGAGAAAAAAAACGCTGACTTCCAACAAAGATGAGACTACCCGAAAAGACTGGAAAGTTACAAGGAAAAAGAACAGTTACTACTTACAATAATTTTATTCTTGTATGCCTCCAAGAAGGGGATGTCTGCTATCTTGTAAAGCACATCAAACACTTTCTTCTGAAATAACCACAGAGTAAGACAACAATTAACATACTGTCAATTTAACGGAAGAAACAGAACAAGGCTAGCACAAAAAACTGAAAACAAGTGAAACATTACCTGGAAACCTGAAAGCATATCTGAAAACCCAGCAGCACCATCTTCAGCCTTCTCCTTTTCTTTCTCAACTTCATACTTAGGCTTCCATGTCTCTGCTCTATATGACTCAGCAACCTTCTCATCCCTAGATATCAGAATATTGTCAAATAGAATGCCATCCTGCATTGTCAAAATCTCAATACCGATAGCAATTATTGGCTCAAAATCTGGCTTGTCAAGTTCAAAATAGTCGGGGTTATCTATCTCTCGTGGCTTCCAGATGCCCTTGTAGTTTGGGTTGTCAATTAAAGGAGCGTGCCATTTTCCCTTGTACGCTGGATTCCTCTTCATTGGTCTCTTCCACTCTCCACATCCAGGTGCTGCTTCACAGTTTGGGTTGTCAATTTTTATTGCTTCCCATTCCCCATCCTCTTCGTCATCCCAGTCTTTCGGTTTTATGGATCCAGGATCATCAATTTCCTCCGGTTCATCGTCCAACCACCCTTCCGGCTTGACAGCTTCCTCATCTTCAATCTCCTCTGGTGCGTCTTCATCCCAGTCTTCTGGCTTTACAGCATCAGGGTCTGGAATTTTCGTCCTCTCATCCCAGTCCTCAGGCTTCTTATCATCAGGATCAGGTATGGTCTTGGGTGGAATAAATGCTGGCTCAAAGTCATCCGAAGATAAGAAATTTGCCTTTCGCCTTTCCTCTCCATCAATCAAAATTCTCAGCTCATTATCAGGTTTCAGAATAGCAGTATAGACATGGGAGAGTTTATCATAAGGGATAGTTGGAGCGTACTTAAGATGATGTTCCACAAACTGTCCAGTTTTAGGATTCTTGTGCAGGAAAATGAAATGCACCTTATCTGTGCCTCCACACTTATCAGGTCCAAACATGATAGTATATGGAGACTCATTGTCAAATTCCCTGGCAGTCCATCCGGCTTTCTGAGGACGGAGGTACTTTAGATATGCCCCTCCACATTCAAGTCCATTCTGTAGTCGAACTTCAAACTGTAGAATGACAGTTCCATCCTTGAGAATGATAGGTTCATCAAGTTCCTTCACTATTGCATGCTTCCTACCCTTCTCACTCACAAGAAGCCCATAATCTTCATGTCCATCACTCTTAGAGTGTCTCCACAATCCTTGTCAAAAGTAGCAAATTATGTAAGAGATAAATGACTGGATGCCAAAGATGGGAAGAAGAGAAAATAAGGTCGTTGGAGTGTTCCTTTGAAACCCGTGAAGATCCTATCTGACTAAATTGATTTTTAACGCAATCAAGATATTCAAGAAGTTGCCATTGACATTTGACTTTTTGAGGGCTGTTTGAAATTATTGAAAAGTTCACTTAAGATTGTTCTTTGTTTTCTACATTGCAAGTGCTGATATTGTGTGGCAAATATAAGATGATTAAAACAATATGAAAGCCTGATAATCTCATCAAAAGGCTATAGTCTGGATTTGATTCAAGCTGAAAAGTTAAACCAAACACAATCAATAAGCCAAGTCAGATGTAGCCATCTGGATATATCAATCTCTGAGATAAAAGCCAATGTGCAGGTGCAAACAAATCAAATTTTCTGTAAAATAAAGACAAGGCTGCAAATTGTCTCCCCAAAAAAATGCACGTTCTCCAAGATCAGAAATGTCTCACAAATGACAGAACAGAGGAAAATGTTGTTTGTTAAGCTGTTTTATGCCACACAAAGCTTCACCAAGCAAACAAGTCAAACTAAATTCAGTGCCATGAATGCTAGAAAATAGAACTCGTGATGCACGACAATAAAAAAAAGTTCCATGTTATGCAACTCAAAAAGCTCTCATGAGCTTACAATTCAAAGCTTCACAGAACAGCCAAATCTTTTCATTAGACAATTAAATATTTAGTTCTTCATGCACAAGGTCGTAAATCCCAGTTTATACAAGCCAATATGACTTATATACAATTACAATTCCGCGTATAGAAGCCACAATGTCATTCCGATTAAAAACTGAGACTCCCAATGACCATCTAGCATATATTACAACAATGCTATTGCAAAAGGCACATCTATCCTTTTATATTCCAGAAATTTGGAGTTTTGCTGCTTCACTTATCTTAATTTTAAATTCTCGTGTATAAATTTATAAACTTGCGTAGATCAACGAACTGAAAAACCAACCAGTCACTGAAGATCATGATGCGCAATCAATCAATCCGAAAGATGAAATATATACGATGAGAACACAGAGGGATTTGGAGTTAAATGTTATTTACCTTCGTAATCCTCTTTCTTGGAGACGATCCACCGCCCTTCAAAGGGCTCGTCAAAGGATTCATAGTACAACTGAATCAAAGCGAACAAAATCGTCAAATTCAGAACCCCCAGATCGACAAAAACATAAGAGCAATCCATCGAGAAAACCAGTCACCGGATCGGACGCCCAAATCTGGAGAAAGGAGGATGCGATCAGGAGGAGGACGAACGGCACGGCCATCTGGACAGGATCAGCTTGCGGGGAGGAAGACCGGGGCAAATGACAACCGGCCGTTGGGATCTTAACGAAAGTGCCGCTCTCGCTTCGCCTCTCTTTCCGGGGCAACGAGAATGAAAGAAGGGCGCTGCCATCAATATAAGGGCGCGGGCGACTCCTCGGTGCCAATGATACCAATTACTTTGGCTAATGGAAAGATGCCACGTCACCGTAACCGTTAAATTCGTTGTTGAACGTTATTCAGAGTATACCGAGAACGGCAACAAACAAGTAAAGATCGAAGCCCACCAAACGCAGTTTGATGGCTTATCCTATCGGATCGACGAACTTAAAGAGCCACAACTGCTGTTGTTGTCTCTGTCTCATGATCCACCTCAATAAAACTACCACCAACATTCTTTCTCTTCAATCCTTTGTCGCCCATCAACTTCCTAATCCTTGCAACATCTTCCCACCTCCTTGCAGTAGCATATATATCAGCCAAAATCGAGTAGATCCCACTCTCCCCAGGGTTCCTTTCTAATAGATGCCGTGCTGCAACCTCTGCAATCTCCACATTCCCCCCATGGATTCGGCAACCCGCAAGCACACCTCCCCACACATAAGCATCGCCGTTCATTAGCATCCCTTCTATCATTTCCATCGCTTCCTTGATCATCCCGTCCGAGCAAATCTGCCATGCATCCGAATGCTTGAGCTCCCGTTCGACACCATAGACGCTCTCCATCTCATCAAAGAGACTCCGACCCATATCAACGAGTCCTGCACGGCTACAAGCCACCAAGACTCCTAGGAAGGTCACCCCATCTGGCCGAACACCCACAGCTCGCATTCTGTTGAAGTGCTTCTGTGACATCTCACCGTTCCCATGCATGGCTAGACCAACGATGATGGCATTCCACGTGAACAAGTTCTTCCATGGCGTTGACTCAACGCTCTCTGTAGCAACACTAATGCAGCCGCACTTTGCATACATGTCTACCAGGCCCGTGGACAGATAGACATTGAGTTCAGCTCTGTTCTTCTTGATGTACTCATGGATGGCTTCGCCTCGGTCCAGCTTCCCCAGTTGAGCACAGCAAGAGAGTGCCGAGACCAAAGCAACATCGTCGGGCGCCGTTCCTATCGCGAGCATCCCATCAAAGAGCTCGATCGCTTCCTCGAACCGGGCCACCTTCGAGTAGCCTGCCAAGAGCGTGCCCCACGACGTCGCATCTCTTGCAGGCATCTCGTCGAAAAGCTTACGTGCAAACGCGTTGTCAGCGACCTTGACATAGCCGTCCATCAAGGTGTTGTAGGTGACGATGTGACGAGACGACGGGCACTCGTCGAAGAGGCCTTGGGCTTCAAGCATGGAGTGGAATGGAGCGTACGCACTAATCAAATTGTTGCGGACGTAGTAGTCGGCGGCGAAGCCGAACTTGAGGACCTGGCAGTGGAAGGCCCGGCCGAGGGCGGGGGAGCTGAAGGTTGCGCAGGCCTGGAGGGCGAAGGGGAAGGCGTGGGAGTCGGGGTTCACGGCGGCGCGGCGCATGCGGGCGAAGACGAGGAGGGCGGGGAGAGGGGAGGAGAGAAGGGTGTGAGCTCTCATGAGGAGGTTGTGGGGGAAGGCGGAGGGGCTGGGGATGCTGTGGAAGAGGGAAAGAGCATAGCCGATGAAGGCGGCGGCGGGATGAAGGGAGGAGGGGCTTTGGTGGTGGTGGTGGTGGTGGGGGAGGATGAGGAGGGTGAGGACGTAGAGGAGCTTGCTGAGGGTAAGCGAGGAGCGGTGGCCTACGCATGGATGGACTTGAGTTAGTGGAGCGTGTTGCAGTGGCCGTGGAGGAGACGGAAACGGTCATGGTGGGTGACTTGCATCGCTTGCATACTTGGACAGGTAGCCTAAAAGCCCATCACTTGTATGCCGAAGCCCATCCTCCTATCGGCACATACTGCACATCTCCGCCATGGAACCTTCTTTACAGACTCCACTTCTCAATCTTTAAATGCCTCCATTAGATATTCTTTGGTCGGTCAAATCTACCAATCTTGGAACATTTCAGGCCCATGTGGTAGACCAGCATACAAAACTCAAGTCAATAATAGTCATATATATATATATATATATATATATATATATATATATATATATATATATATGAATCTTATGTCCAATTCATTACAACATCCATCACAGCTCAACAAGGATCACTGGAGAGACAATAGAAAGCAATACATACAATGTAGAGGGAGGAGTTTGAAGAGAAGGTTAAAAGGGAGGAGGAAGAGAAGAGACTCTTAAAAGGCCCCAGCTAATCTCCAGAGGAGAAGAGAGCCAAACCTGACCAAACCCAAAAGGAAAACGCCACGTCCACCGGCGGGCGCGCAACCAAACTGCAGACCCCGAGCTTTTACGTACTCGTCAGTAGTAGTAAGAGGAGGAGGAGGAGCCACCGAGCTGGAACCCGTCTGCGGCGGCGTCGTCCACCGTCGGCATCGGCCCGAACAGGGGACTGTGCACGTAGCCTTCCTCAAAGAAGATCCCGTGCGAGGCCGGGGAGCCGTACCCGCCGAACTCCCCCGGGTCGCACCACATGGCCGCCATGTCCTCCTCACCCGCTGCCGAAGCACCACTCGACTCCCAAGGAAACGCCACCGCCGGCTGAGACGCCGGCAGCGTCGAGGCCGTGTACTGTAACCCATCCTCCTGCTGCTGCTGGTTGTGGTAGTAGTAATGGGTCCCGTCGTCGGAGATTGTACTGTCCGCAATAGCATTGTAGTCGCCCTGACCTCCCAGAGCTGGGAAGGCGGCGGCCGCGTGGTGACCGGAGTCCTGTATCGGCGATGGCGCGGAGAGGGTGAAGGAGGAGGGCGGGGGCTGGAGGTCGGGGGAGAGGAAGGGGGTGAGGGAGGAGCCGGGCGGGAGGTCTGGGTAAGCGAAGTTGGTGCGCGCGCGGGCCCCGCGGAGGGTGCGGGCGGCGCGGTCGTACGCGACGGCCGCCTCCTCCGCCGTGTCGAAGGTGCCCAGCCAGTGCCGCTCCTTGGTCGCCGGGTCGCGAATCTCCGCCGCGTACCGGCCCCACGGCCGACGACGCACGCCGAGGTACCTCATGCCACCGCCACCCGCGCTCGCGCTGTTGGCGCCGTTACCGTTGCTCTCGCTGCTGCTGCTGCTGTCCTGCTGCGTCCTGCGTTTGCTTTTCTTCTCCTGAGTGACATCAGAGCCCGGAGAAGCAGAGGAGGAAGAAGAGGAGAAGAAGAAGGAGAAACCCATTACCAAGAGAAAGAGCAGTCCAGCAATGATGTTTAGGTGTATTATTAGGTTGGTGTAGTGGGAGGGTTTGCATGGTGGGGGGCTTATATACAAGAAGAGGTGGTGGTGGTGGATAGATATGTATATTCTCTGACGGTCGGCCCATGTTTTCTTTGATCGAGAGTGGAGTCCACATATGGTCAATGTGGGTTCTAAGTTAGTAACATGGATTGTATGTGATCATCACTTTCATGGTAGACTCCATCCACCGTGCCACTGATGAACTCAGTTACCTTGTCAAAGTCGATCCCTTCATGCCCAAATAAACTCAGAATCTGGAATGGAACTGTTCTTTTCCTGTCGGAGGAGGAGAAGATGCAATGTAGGAAATCTATGGCAGGGCAAGAAGAACATGATCTGAGGTCGGCATTAAAGAGCGCAGGTATGGGCCCCCCTGCATTTATGTAAGCCTGATGATTGTTCTCTGATGGAATGGAGTTGCTAATGATGAGGAGAGGCCATCCCACAGCAAATGCCATCACATGATTACATGGCTCACCGGAAATGATTAGCATGTGCTCTCACTTCCCTTCAGATGCCATGACTTACAATATTGCAGTGGGCAACTGCCTCGTTCTTGGCCTGCATTCATCAAAGCATCTCAGAAGCTAATCATCAATTCATTGTATCCTGCAGAAAATATTATCCCTTCCATTTCTTTTCGTGGAATCTTGGATGCTCAATATTAGGATTAGTCCATGTTCATAAGAGCTTGGTGGTAGTGTTACAAACCATGACATGGAAGACCTTCTTCAGAAAATTAAACTAGTTAACATATCCAAAACATTCTTTCCTGATGATGAAGAACACTGCACATTAGGCTCATCTGAGGTGCTTGTTATGGAGAGGCATGGAAGACATCACAAAGCCATCTTGACCACCACTTCATCTGGCATTATTAGTGTTGCTAATAATCATGTAAAGAGCATTCCAAGTAGTTGTTAAATCAAAAGATTAGGTACACACACACACAAACTTCATTAATCTATGGGAAGTTCACACGCACAATATTAATCTATAGGCGATGCAGGGAAAGGCTTATCATTGCTCATCCATGTGCTAGCAAATTGAGCAAAACCACCAAATGATAAGCTCCACAAGCCAAAACACCTTTTGAAGGCCAAAGTCTCCCTTAATCTGTTCAGTGTCTCGGAGGTGTTGGGAGTTTAATTTTGTGTCCTGCGTTTGGTTGCAGGGCCCGCAGGAACCTGTACGAGTCAAAAAGATTTGTTGGGGTGCATGTGAAGGAAGAACCTGTTGGCATATATATTCTGAAGTAATTACATGACTCGGTCACTACAAACTTTCATCACCCATATGATTCACATCAATAAAGTTGGAAAGCTCATGTACTCGAAATAATAATAATACTAGTAGTGCCTTTTAGTATCCTTCTGACAAGATCAATCTTGTTCTTTGCCCAACCACGATGTGCTCGACTGAGAACTTGGAATGCATGGAATCCAAGGCTTATCTCACCCAAATTTACTTGGCATCACATAGCTATCGGTTGTCTCTCGCATTCATTCACTCTCCAAGATCTTGGAAATCTAAACACACTTTTGCATGTTTTCACATCTTCAGACTCCTCATCTTCGTTGTCAGTCATCTTTTGTTTCTTCGGAGATAGTGGAGAATTCTTCTCGGGGTAGTTTATCTGTAGAATTCCTCTGAGAGTATCGGCACTGTCACCAACAACTGATGGATTGAAAGATTGTCTGCATGCGTTTTGGTCAATGATTTCGCAACTGGTCTCATGGCCGGTCGGATGGATTCCGAAGAGCAGGAGATCACATGGCACCTAATATTCTAATCATCAAGCAGTGTAAGAGGAAGAAGACAACCCTTTCTCCATTATTCTTGCTCTTTGGTGATCCTGCAAACAGTTTCCACGACTGACCGACAACACCGCATGTCATTGCTTACTGCAGAGTCTGATGTGCTCTTAGGGACACACCATACCAAGACCAATCTCTCTTTCGATCATAAAAGACTCACCTGCTGTTGTGTGCCATCAGGAAACCTACAGGCACAACTTGCTTCAGTGTCCATCCATTCTCTTCGATCTCCATCGGATCATTATGCATGCATGCACTGAATGCATGGATCCTAACACAACCTTCAAACTCGTGCCTCACTTCTCGTATGCATGAATGAGATCGCAGCAAGTCAAGCAGAAAGAGAGTATTGCAGGGTGTGGAAACAAGGACCATAAAGATCCTGCAACATGCACTGGGTTGTCATCTAGTATGCTTGTTGGTATTATAACCAGCTTCGTGCTTAAGGTACATCAGCGAGATCTAAAGCGCGATTTTAGCTGCTATAAGATGCAAAAGATCTTCTCATGGAAAGCTAGAAAAGCATAGATGTGTGATAGGAGAGGACATTGTTTTAGGTGTAGGCATGTGGAAGCCTTTGAGCTCTGCAATGTATGCTACACTCGATCCAAAAAGAGAACCCCCAACTCTAACCCTACACCTTCAACATACTCTGTGATTTAGCTTGGAGCCACTTTGGTCCACTGCTGTGCATCAGATCTTGCTTGTCTTACACTGACTTGAACAAGGTGAGGTGATGTCAGATCTTTTCTTCTCAGATCTTTAACTGCAAGCTTTCCATCAAAATTTAGCATGTTTTCCGGATAAGCAAAATCCAGTTTAGTGATTGTTTAGGAGATTGCATGAAGTTTGCAATGAGTATATATATATATTGCAATCCCACATCCATAGGGATGTAGATTGACTTAAATAGGATGAACATGGAGATGATTAGATGAATGATGCAATGTAAAGTGGGTTTAGAATCACTTTGCAGGGCCTCAACCAAATATTTGAGGCAATTCGAAGATTACAAGCAATGGCTACAACTTGCCTATCTACTTCATGCAATACTACATCAAATGGGAGATGCATTACAGATCTCAACTAGTAAAGTAGAGCCAAGTAAAATTACAATCTCCGTGTCGGAAACGCAACGATGAGTAAATAATACAAGGCTTGTGGAAGTGTAGTATTTACAAACAAGTGCTTGAAGCATGACACAGATTGAGTAGCTCCTTAAAATCATTGCACCAAGTACATATCAAGAAAGCAGAAAGGAAGCCTAAGAAGAGGCTTCAAAGCCAGAAAAATAAGCTCGACGATCTCATCGTCTATCGTAGATACTGGATTTGCCTGGAGACGGCTATATAACATTACATGTACTGGGACTCATGTGATAAAATATTTATTTATATTACTATTTACAAAACATCCTGTTGGACATAAAAATAACTGAGCTTGGCTCTAAAGAATTGCATCTGTGTTCCAATATATACTACTTGTATCTCTGCAAGAAACTGATCGAAAAGTATAAACTAATATTTTACAGATGAATGCCGTAAGTTCTATTTAACGTTCTAATTCCACCTACATATGTCATTCTTCTCTCCTTACTAGAAATTATAGCATTGACATAATTCACAAGGCAAGCGAGTGATACCGAGAATGATTCGACGACTGCTTTGACATCAGTAACATAGAGCCCCACCGTGGTTGACCCAATGCGCAAAACTATCAGAAAACTCGCCATGGTTGGAACTTTGTGCAACATCAGTGGCTTCAGCTTCCTGTGTCAAAAAAAAAGTAACGTATGTTAAGTTCTCCAAATCTCCATGATATTAGAAGACAAAAGTTGGACACCAGTTAATTTTTCGTATGGTAGATGGAATCAATTTGAATTGCCTCCTTGCTCTTTAGATCAGGTCTTAAGGTTTTTGTGCCAAAGTATGGCACACATCAAGTGCTTCACCGATAATTATCTACTGATCTGCCTTGGCATGTACTACATCGATGTAGTCAATGTAAACCCATATGTGGATCAAACAAGTAGCATATTTGAATAATAATTCCGAGGAACGATAAGAATCCAATTTTAAACATGAACTACCAAGCATTTAAAAGATACAAAGGAATGATGCCCTCAAAGGAAAAAGAATTAATATAATGTTCTTGAAGAAGTTTCTTGTCTGGCTCATGTAAATTTTGAAATTATAACTGTACTATTATATTTTTACAGAAAGAGATCAGAAGTCAAGTCGTAAATAGATGCACCGGGGGACTTTTGCCAATTTTGGCATTATGCTAATCATAGAGAACGATCAACTTATCATCAGAACTCAATAATGTCAATGGATAAATTAAGGCAGGTTGTATTATTTTATGATTAACTAGCACTTTTTGCAACACCGGTTCCTTTCAAGGTTTAATTATCAGTCCATATGGGCTAGTAATTGTTAATTGCTGCTCTGATAGCCAATCAAGATGGGGCTGGGTACTTTCAAGTGGCTCGATCAGGTATAAACTGAATGTACCATTCAATAAGCTCATCATATTATGATTACCCAGATGGTAAGCAAATCAATTCCAGACTTTAACAGGCTATAAGACTACGGCCCAATACCCATGCTTTTTTTTATAGCTGTCAGATGTATTTTTCTTCTCTCTCTCTCTTCCTACTACCCGTTATGTCGCTACCACTACTTCCTCCAAGCATGTTGCAGTCATCTCCTAGTAGTATGCCTCCTTCCCACCACCACCTCCTCTCCACTGCCTCCTCCAATAAGTACTAATTCATACCAACTTGGTATACCACCCCATATCGGTACTGTAACAAGCCATCTGCCGACTGCTATTGGTACTAGACTAAAAATTAAAACCTTAATTATATTTTACGAACTACAGAACAATTCAAGAGGAACCCATTCTTGAACTTCAAAATTTTGGCAAAAGCTTAGCACAAGTTCTAAAAATATCAGTGCTAAATTTGCACAAATAGGAACTCAAGATGTGAAACAACAAAGACAAAATGAAACAAACCTTAGTATTAGGACCTTCCTCACTTAAAATTGAAGTTTCTTCAGCAATTACACCATCAGTGACATTTTCAGTGGAAACATTCCTCGGCGGTGAGTTAATAAGAGGTGACCTGTAGTAAAAAGAAAAGGGAAGAGGTTGAAAAAGACACCCATTTTAATATTTGTATCGAGGAATGAAGGAAGAATACTTCTCAAGAAGGCTTGACCACTTTCTCTTTCATGCTCATTTTAGAGAACAAATTCTTTCATACTCATTTAATCTGTGCTATATTTGCACGAAATTCAATCATCTGTGGCAGTTCAACTATGGTGAACCTTATGAGTTAGCATCACACTGCTCAATTTGCAGGACTTCTCTAAATTCAACCAGTGAAACTTAGTATACACCATTAAACAAAGATAACATTATAAACTGTAGAATTAGATCAAGCAAAGGAAGTTCTTCTTATTAAAATAACAAAGTTAGCTTATCAAATCATGTAATGTCATGTCAGAATGCAACACATGTGGTTGCAATACACGAGTCTTAGAAGATAAAATCTACTGAATGTGCACACTGCATGCTCCTCAAACTATGACATTTTGTATTAATATATGGTTTTGAACAGCAATTGGATCTGATTATAATCAAGAAATACGAGAATATTTGTCTGTGAAGAGTTGAGCTATGTTAAATTCCACAAGCAATCAAATCTACATGACATGTATAATATGAAGTGAAAAACAAGAGCTATAGATATTAGAGTTCTTTAGCTATAGATATGAAGTGATAAGACCCATCTTTTTCTTATTGACAGTTTGACGCCATGGTTATCACCTAACATACAGGACAAGTAATATTTTCATTAATGTGCTCAAAGCAAGCAAAAAGCAAAATTATCACCCTCAATATTTTCAAGAATGCACATTGATGTAAGACAATGACCGTGTGTGTCTACTTGGTTCTTACTTCTTACTATCTTGACCTGCAGAACAATTTACAATTACAAGCTACACAATGCACAAAAAATTACATTCTATACACCATGTATAACACCATGGAAGTTAAAAGATCATCTAGAAATTTGTTTAAATCATGATCTCAAACACAGCTGTATCTTCTCCCACGACAAAGACATACATAAACACTAATATTGATCAAGTTCAAATACAAAAAAATGATGCATTAGTTACATTATCAAATTCCATCACAATATTATATAAATAGGGGAAACAGCACTCATAGAAGATTACCTTTCACAACCTTCATCATCACATGAATTCCCCGACGATGAAAGCCAATCAAAGTCCAGGAAGTTTGAACAGTTTGAATCATTAAATCTATGCTCGCTTAAACATATATGCCCACAATCTGAAAAGAGTTGACTCCTGGAGATCATCGGAGTGCACCTAATACATATGAGAGTGAGAGAGGAATTAAGCTATTTATGAATATGCATGGTGAATGTCCTGCTAAGGCATTGTTTCTGGAGTTTCAGATGAAACAGAGATCAAGAAGAAATTAGACACTTAGTTTATAGGGTTTTGGCTGCTGTGGGTTTTCTGTCTTATCAATCAGAAGCTAAAAAATGCAACAAAAGAAAAGCACAACATTTCTCTTGTTTATTTGTCGTTATAAAACAAAAATAAGGCCCAAAAAGATGTCCCTCGATTCAATTAATTACTTATTTGACTACAGTAACAGTTTTGTAGAGAGCTTATTAATGCATCAACGATGAACAATCTAAAGAAACTTACCTTGAATATGATATGTCATTTTCACAAGTTGAAATTTCTGGTGTAGAATCACATAGACCCTTGACATTTGACTCGTGTTGTACTCTTGAAGGCAGTGCCGAAGAAGCTACTTTGTTTGGTCCAGCATCACAGCCAGAGACAGGTGTTTGGCTTTCACGTAGAATATTGCCATCTGATAGGGATCTTTTGATAAATGACCTGAATAACAAAAGCTGAAGTTAAACCAAACCTAACTTATACACCTGAAACTTCCTCAACCACACCATTAAAAAAAACCAGATGAATTGTAATAGCTATGATTGTTATCATATGATTTACAAATGCATGTAAGCATGCAGGAGTCCTGCACTATACAATTTCTAGTAAAGCACACACAAAATTATTAATTTTAATATTGAGGTTCACTACCTCATGCATCATCTTATAAAGTACAAGCTATATACAACTTCCAATGGTTATTACTCAGTTGTCACAACAATTAGAAAATATCATTGAGAAAATCCAGATGCTATAGATAAATCAACACTTCAACTAAAATTCAGTACCTTGCATTTTCATCGGCAAAAGTATGACGCCGACCAATATTGCAATGCTGATCTGAATCCAACTCCCAAAGTGCTGCTTTACCTTGTTGAGGTTGGAAATGCCCTAAGAATCTACAAATTTAATAGTAATTATAAAAAAAGAGGTGTTATTTGAAGAAAAAAGATTATAATCAGTGGTAACAAGGAGGTTAGAAGTAATTTATCAGAAAAGATTGTGAAATCCTACATATTAATAGCATCCTGCTTCTCGGCATCCATATAAGCATTGCTATAGTATCGTTGGATGGTCCTAAACAACTCCTGGGACTGGGTTGCAGCCTTCCATTGACCTCTTCTTTCAGAGAAAATCTGTGCAAAATTATGAAACAGTTCAAGTAAAACAGAGTGATGCTGCAAGTATGTAAAATATTTTGCTAGTTGGGAATAGACTATTTGGCAAGCAAGCAGTCCAAGATGAGAACAGTAAGTGGATCATGGAAACCAAATCTTTTAATATTCTAGCTTATGATTTTTTAACCTAATAAAACAAAAATCTTATTTCTTCACTACTGCCTTTTTCTTTTGAGTGCTCAAGGTGTTATGAACCCACCCAATGGATAAGAGATCCGTTAACTTGTTGAGCTTGAACTACTGACCCAAGTTGATGGACCACTTATGGACTTCCAATGTGTAACTAAAATGAGGTGATCTCTCCACTTAAAGATTTAACATCTTTAACATCTTCATCAAGGACCAATATAACCTAGAATCAATCTTAACATGGCACCTTAATATGATGTACATAATGTCATGGTGGCTCCACATTGTAGAGTGCCCAATAGCCTATATGCTGGTAGTCTCTCACTGTGTTCAAATACTAGTTTGACCTTGATACCATTTATCATGATCAGACTTGTTGAGTATGAACCACTTGCTCAAGATGCTTGAGCCGAAGTTAAAAGTAGTAGACTCATTAAAACCAAAGTCATCTTAGTTCCAGACGCATACTTGATGCATATGTATGTAATACCTAGGCACCTAGCTATAAGTTGTAATATGGAGAAATATGAGAATAGGAAAAATGAATGTCATTTTTTGTCGAGTGTGTTATATGTTAGATCGAGCAACAAGTTTCTTAGTAGAGAAACGATCTAAATATATTAACGGAACAAATGGAGTAAACCATTATTTGTCTTTGTCCTGTACTTTTTACTTTTTTATTTTTGGTGTGAAATAGCTTACATAAAAAAGAGGTCAAATTATAGACTCTTTTCAATTGACTCCTCTGTGGACCTTAATATAAACAAACTAAAATAAGGCCTAAGATGAGATATTAAATTAGAACTATACAGTGTGATATATTCAGCTATCATTATTCAAGCCTTGGAACTTTTCCAACAAACAGTGATCAATCTGATGTCAAACCTCGATGTTGGTGCCCAATTTCAGTCAAGAAAGAGATTTTCCGGTAAGCAACTTAATAGTTTCGTTGAAACTTATGCAACCAGGAAGCCACTCTCAAAGATTCCTAAGAAACTATCAGCAGTTAGTTTTTAAGAAGAAAAGGTACGTGCCTCAAAGGCACAAAACACAATATTGAACTGATGGAACACAACCCCAAGTTCAGATGCTTCAAGACATTTACAGAAAAACTCAGTAACATACTTGAATATTATTGATAAGTACATTAGTAAATGAACACTCAAACAGCTTATTCCTCAAAAGAGATAACATACTTAATACCTTGTTGTGCGCAGCAGAACCACCATATTGTAGGGCAAGTGTATCACCCATTCTCTCATAGAAAACCATCAAATCATCACCCAAAGGAGAATCTAGATCAACTTCTGGGATGTCTAGAAATCCCAAGGCATGAAGCTGATGACCAAGAGCAGCCAAACCATATGCATACTGGGCAACATTTGTGCGGTCCAAGCAGTCTATACAATTTGTCCTAAGGACACCTCTTTGGAACCTAGGTGATAGAGCCAAATTGTCTCCATTCTGAACTTCATTAATGAAATTACCATGACTCTGTTCAGTTCCAAAATATGTACTTTCATCCTTCAAGGAATTGCTATAAGAACCAATGGCTTCTCCTGTGCTGCCTCGGCTACTGCATGACAACAATTATTGAGATTAAATGAAAAAAGCAACTCAAATATATATAATACCGTTCAGGTGCATCATCTCTTGTATAAATGAACAAAGTGTTTAAGCAGTGATAAAAAAGAAACTAAATAAAATCAAACAATGTTATTATTATGGAAGTTCAAATATCTAACAGTTCATAGATCCAGAATTTAAATCAATAACCATATGTCTAGTAAAATTTACAATTCATAGATGTGCCATGTTAACTCTCTGAGATCAGCAAAAGCCTGAAAGACTGCCTTTACTTTTGTTTTCAGTATGGATGAAAGTGAACTAGTAAAGGTGTTCGAAGAAAGCAATAAGGATTATAATACTGATTAAATACTGATACTAGTCAAGGGTTAAATCATATAATGACAGTAACAACTTGTACCAGATCTAAATATGTTGGTATCAATCGTACTGACTAGTCCCTTCCCCTGTTTTGCAGATTAGATACCAGTTTTGTTCTTTTAAATACTATGACATGTTATTAATCATATGATAAAAGAACATAGACAAATCTTCTAAAAGCACAAGTATTCGTATGCATACAAAGTTAATCAAATCATATAACAGAATACCATACATGCAAGTTCAAACAAACATGACAGTAAGGTTATATACTTTAATAATTACAAGTTAACATACAAAATACATGCCTTGTCCGTTTACTAATACAAAAAATGAATGTCGCAGAGTGGAACCAGTGTGAATGATATTTGAATCCGTGATTACATGATAGTTTTGGAATTTCGATAAAATTTGAATTTAGTTTATGTGTTACATGCACATAAACATATTGCAAAAATGTCTCTGAAATTATTATATGAAAGAAGCATTTGGTGTTTTCATACTTCAGTTGGTACATCAAATGTAGAGATTACTGATGCCAGAATGCTCAAACAATTACGATTAAAGCCTATGCAATGTGGTTGATCATCGAGCTGCATGCTCATAATAATTCCTTTTAGCCTATTCACACTTTAGATATAAGCATAAAGAATATGTTGAAACATAAGATTACTAATCATGGAATCAAGAAAGAAAAAAGTACTGATATTGAAACAAAAACCTGGCTTGAAAAAATCATGAAACAAGATTCTTACGGAAGGTCCTGAATTTGCAAGCCTGGTGTTACTTGGCAATAAAAGAAGCCTGTTAGATCCAATGCATAAGCTGCCACTTTGCCTAATAATTCCAGCACGTTGGCAACTTTTCTGGACATATTTTAGCAACCAACAATTAGTAGCAAGTTGAAGAGGTTATTATTTTTGCACAAGGACATGAAAATAATGAACAGAATATAATAACAACCCATTTCCTGCAAAAAAGACAACATACAGAAGAATAATGCAAGAGAGAAATTAAAAAAGCAAATATATACCTTCTAGAATGTTTTTGAATATCCCAGTGCAAGAATTTCAGGCGTCTCTCCTCTGGTATATCTTTATTTATGAAATCAATTGCATTGGCAAACTCTGCACGCAGCAATGATTCTCGAGGCTTCTTCTCACGTGACTAATTGTATTAGATCATGAAATTAAAAAAAAAACATAATAAATTAACCAAGAAGTGAAAGATTACTTCAAACCCAAAATCCTTTGACATCATTGAGGTATTCATGCACAAAAAAGAAGATACAAAGTTACATCCACCTTTTTGCCAAAGTAGATTGAGACTACCCACCTTAATCAAATTTAAAATAATTATTGGGTTGCCATATCGCTTTACAAGATTTTCAAAGTGTAGCCGTGTAGCTTCATAGTTCTTGTCCTTCTTATGCACTGAAAAAAGATGTGCCAAAGTAAATCTTTAACTGTATTACAAAGGAACTAATACAATATTACTAAAACTTACAGATAATATCAGGCCGAATATTTAATTTTGAAGTTTCCTGAGACCAGAAAAGGGGTATGGAACCTCTATTCTGTACAACAGAAGTTATTTGTGAAGGAATTTCTTCTGGAGTATCTTCAAATACAATTTGCTCTGTCTCAACATCATTGGCTACTCTACCCTTCTCATTAACACCACGTTTTAGGTACCTAAACCGGGACAAAGCAGATATTAAATCATTAACCATAACAATGTTACAGATTAAAGATCTTAAATCTGTACGCTCATATTACAGATCAAAGATAATTAACAATTTATTAGTGTGACAAAACCTATTATCAAAGAAAACAAGGAATTGCATTAAACCACATTTTCACCTACAAACCTTGTGCCAGCAAAATGACGTGAGCGCCTAGCAATGAGCGTCAACATAAAATCTCTACCAAATATTGAAAGTTTTGCCTGAAAACATAACAGAAAGATACATAAGTGAGTTTTTAAATACTAAACAAATTAAAAGAGAAAAAAAGCATACTTCTCAAAGCAATAAAGCAATATCATCAGTGTGCTAAAACAGGAAATGGTCAATGTTGGCTTTACAAGTGGTGTATTTTTTTATTGTGTTATTAACAGCATGATTGAATCCGGAAGAGTCCACACCAGACATTTCAATGTAATCATACCTGCTTAAAAAATCCATGAACCAATGCAACTGTCCACATAGTGTTTTTGAGATGATTATGGACGCCACGCGTCAAGAACTCATTCCAAACAAACATTGTTTCATAGAGAACTTGCCCTGTCTTGCCATCACATAGGTTCTTTTGAAGACTACGCATGATGTTGTATGAGTAGCTGAAGAAGAAGTCCTTTGTGAGGTCCACAGTGCACAGTAGCCTCTTGTATCTATGCAATAAAGAAGAAAGACAACATTGTGAATGGTTCTGCAAATATGTAAGACACAGAGTACAAAAATGACAACCATAAATTTAATATGAAGGTCATATTTTTTCCGGTAGTAAAAACTATTAAGAAACTAGTACATATTGCCTCAATACCTTAAGCCATCGACATTATATGACAACATAAATATTCCTTTCGATTACTTGAATTTGCCTCAGTACATAAGAAACCGATCTGGCACACAGACCCCAAGAAACTGTAATGACTTGAGATGATTAAAGATCCCATAACAACTGTGAGTTACCTCAAGGAACGTTACATACTTACAAGGAGAATAGCGTTTCTACATCTTTAGCTAACAAGAAAAAAACACTATCAACCTTTCAACAAATTGTCATTGTCACTTTACAGAAAATCTCCGCAGCGTGTCATGGAGTAATTCAGAAACAGAATCCATTGGCACTGTAGAGCATTTGTTCCATGGTTAAATACTAGACTTCAATTATAGCAGTTCAAACTTGCACTAGTTTTAATTACAATACAATAGCAGCTTTTGAAGACTGATTACGGCCTCAATTAAACATAAATTGTACATGGCACATTTTTCATGTAAAGAATGGACAAAGGACCTGTTCTCATCTTTAGAGTAGACCAAATTGGACTGCACAGCCGAATTTGGAAGTGCAATCATTTCGCTCTTGGAGACAGCATATATGGTATGACCCAATATGGTACCAATCTTCCTTCTCCTAGTAATGAGCAGCATGTAGTACGGACCCAGGAACTTTATGAACCCTGAAAATGTACAACATGTATGTCACAAGAAATTCTTGAACATCAACTTTGAATGTGTTGGACGGAGGGGTTGGCAACAAGCTTCAATTTTATCCATGTATGGAAAAGATCAAGGCTACACATACCAGCGATGCCATAACATTTAGTCACAAATCTTAATCCCCCAGTTGAAATATTTCCCTCATGTACGCGCTTCAGCAAGTCATAACATTCACTTGTGGAGTATGTTGTTGGATCCTCACGAATATTCAGCTCAGAAGGCTCCAACCTATCGATCTTTAACACCCTCCACTGTGCCCTACTCTTGTTGCTTCCAACTATATAAAACATCTGCAGCATCATACCAGGTGTAACAAACAACAAAAATATGAATACCAGATAAACAGTTTAGATATTGACGATGAGGAAAAAATCAATCATTTTGTGCATAAGAAAACGCATAAAAGTAATCTGTTCTTGACGAGCAACTGAAATATGGTATATAGATATCTATTCTTTGAGAAACCATCACACAAACAGATCTCGATGAAGGCGTTGAAGGACATAAGAAAAACTCCCGAGTAGGTTACCGGGTAATTAAAGATCAATAAGAACGAAGAAACTGCCATGCACATATCTCTAAAAGAAGTACACGGATCCCGAATTTGTAGCCTGTGTGAACCAAAATAGTATATGATGTTTCCGTAAGACGATTCAACCATAGGCAAATCCAGCAATGAAATTTCTTACACAGGCAACGCAAGAAAGCGATAAGAGCATAAAACAACAAAATCGTCAACCATCAGAAAATATTCCCTCCAAACCATACAGATTTGATCATTGAGTCCAAGATCTGATAGGAGAGGGAAGAAATCAATAACGATAGACAACAAGCACTAGGAAAAAAGATTGAAGAAACGCATGAAGCAAAACAAATCACGATAAAGGATCCAACTTTCTACGACAAAACCCAACTGACCGATCGAGTCTCGTAAAGCCTGAACTTCTGGAGGCACCCGCTCCCGGCAGCTGCGCCGGTCCCGGCCGCCGCCAACTGATCCGCCGTCTCGCTGTCCGCCACCATCTGATCAGCCGAACCCATCCCGAGCCTTCGTCGGGCCCGGCGACCTAGTCACTCGCAGATCTTCCGTCTCGCCCTAATCCGCCACTCGCTCTCTTCCATTGACGGCGGCACGGAGACAACGAAAGCAAGAATCTTTCAATGAAATGAGGGGGGGAAAGGAAAAAGAATACTAACGGGCTCTCTCTCTCTCTCTCTCTCTCTCTCTCTCTGTGAACAGCTTGCGATCTTTCCAATAAAAGATCAAAAAAGCCGTTCTTGAGCGCAAGCAAGAGGAAACCGAATTAAAAAGCGAGTAAGAAAAGGAAAGAAGCTTCCTTCCTTGGGGGAAAGAGCAGCCAAGGTCGATCAAAAAGGAAACTTTCTTCCGCTCAATAAATGACTCGGCTGGGAATTGGAATCTGCCACAATGATTGCGGGGTGGGATGGAGAAAGAGAGAAACAGAGAGATATAGAAGAATCGGGGCGGACGACGACCACAGGGAGGTTTGGCCGACGCCTTCCACACAATAATAATAGTAATAATAATTACACAAATTAACACGCAGCCCAAAATTATGAGCTTTTGTTTCTTCTTCTCAATCTTTGGGTCGTGGCTTTCTGCCCTCGGTTTCTTGTGGAGGGGAGACGGAGATGAGAGTACAATTAGGAACCGGTGGAGTGCGTTTATCACCACACCCATCTTGGATTTGTAGCTTCTAACAAATATAACTGTCACTACTTACTGTGATCAATCCAGTAGATCACCGGATCTCGATGACAGATCGCGGTTTACGCTGTCGGATCGGGGAATCGAACTGGGAATCGTGTGAATCGAGAATATAAAGAAAAACTATTTGTTTGTGTTGACTGACTGGTCTTTTTCATTTTTACCCCTGTAAATTTGAGTTTGATGTATATATCCTTCCAAAACTCTTCTAATCAACCATTAGCATAATAACATTAATGATACAAATGATTAATATTATTTATCTATTTAATGAAAAATAATAAAGTATACTTTAAATATTAGTTTTCAAACTCATTATATATATGTGGCAAAATCTATGAAGAATTTATATCATTGAAATAATATACATGTGCAAGTTTTAAGGAATTAAAGGGATATACTTGTATATTTCATATTAAACATTGAAAGGGTAAATATAATATTGTCAACTTTCAAAGGATAAATATGTAAGAGTCCAAAAATAAAAAAAAAGTGTTTGCACAGAACCTCTACGAATAGGATCTACATAGCCCCTATCTACTTAAGTCTACAATTATAATTTGGTATTAAAATAGTGAGCCATATACCTATCATGTCCAGTCAGAAATTGAGGTGCATGACAATTATTTGTGATTAATTACTTTACGATGATGTATCCATCACAAGCAATTGCAATAGATATTAGCCATAGATATCGTTGGGAGCACGGCAAACGCATGGAATATATGCAATAGCTTGTCATTTTAGGCTTCATGTGACTCGCATGACCAATGTGGTAGCTTCCACACGTTGGCTTCATCGCCATAAGGATGAAGACACGCAGATCGGCTTTTTGTGGTTTGATAGAAGGCTATAAAGTATTGTTCGTGAGATAAATCGAGATCTTGGAACCTAATCACGTTCGTGCGACACGAGGCATCAAAATTATTCATATTAAAGTACTCTTATATTAGCTTTTCCAAGCAAATTTGGTAGTTTGAATCATATATTGGTAGGGGTTAGGCTAAATGAGATGTTTAGAACTAATTACATAATATCCCGGACCCTATTTAGCATCATAATTTTTATATTTAAAAATTTTATATTAAGATCTCTATAATTTTAAAAATAAAATAAATAATTTTATTTACTCTAATATCGTCAGTTACATTAATGAAAAATATAATTTCAACATCCTTCTCATTTTCTAATATGAGATGTTGAAATTATCTATTTTGTTGATAAAAATTATTAAAAATAAAAAAATATTAAAATTATATTTTTGTTCATCACTTTTGCACGTGGTGTCACATATTATATTTTCCGCCAATACAACTGATGATATCGAAATAAATAAATTTATTTTTTTAATTATAAAAAAATTAATATATTTTTTTAAGACTAAGGGCCATGATACTAATAAGTCCAGAGAATAATCTATAATTATTCTTGATGTTTATAATATAATTTATATAAAACTTTGAATAATACAGTTGCTTGATGTATTATACACGCACATATACATATATTTAAAAGGACATATATATATACATACCACCACTCTCTGGGGTCATTATATCTATTTCCCTTTCTTGTTCATTGACCACTTTGAGCTTATTATATATATAAACCCTTTCCCATACTTTTTATATTCTGCGTTCACTTGACTGCATATCACATATTAATTCTAATGGAATCAAACTCATGCAACGCATGAAAATAAACAAGTCCAACACAACTCTAATTCCTCCACGGGATCAACAACCGGTCTGCATGCATGGGCCGACCGAGCCATTTTGTTACATTCGGACCGAGCCGGAAGTAAACCGGCGTTGCGAAACAGTTCGATCAGCTTCTGACTTTGTCAAACACCGCGAGTGTCGCAGAAGCTTCCAGAATGTGTAAGGCCAACTTGTAAATTGGTCGCACGTGTTCCTCACCTTAGATGTTGTTTAGTCATCCAGGTCTGACCCGAGAGACGGCGTCAACATCACCGCTCGACGTGTCACGCACCGATTGGCTGAATGGGATTATCAGTCAAGGGTTCAGACGACAGCAGAGCCGAGGCAATAATAATTCAGGGAAAACAAATGTCCTATTTAAATGGTCGCAATCGAGCATATAAAAATAATTTACCTGATGCAATGTATCGAGTGACGTATCTGTAACATCAGCCGAGTCGAGCTGAGTTTGATTGTTCTTCTGCAACTCGGGAGCCGTCGGCATCCCTGGCAAACACGTCGTGAATCGCCTACTTTGCGCGAGGAGAAGAAGAAGAAGAGCGTGTTCCCCCACTAGCTTTTGTACCCAGGTGAAGACAGGAACACCAGGAGGTGGGGACTGTGGATAGAGACAGTGGCGACGAGGAGGAGGACGAGGCGGGCGATCCATTCTCGGGCGCCACAAACCCCAATAAAGTAAAGAGCATCTCTAAAGTGGCACGACTTTTGGGGCGTAGCCATGGCCACCACACCTCCGCCCGTGCGCGGTGTTTCACTCGGTGTGGATGAGTCCTATCGTTCCCCGCTGGCTATATCCCACGGCAGAAGATATCTGCAGCTCCTTTCGTCTTGTTCTTCATTGCCACTAGAGCTTCTCCTGCACGTAGTTTCAACTCATCAAGTGGCTGCCGATGAGAAGTGTGTCATGAAGAGACGAGAAGCTCGTTTTGTTCTCATATGATGCATCGAGAAACGGGGAGAGATACACTGAAGCTACTCAGGTACTGTCTGGAGAGAAAACAACACGGGGAACTCTGATTGATATACGAGACTAGTCTTCTGAGATCTTTCTAATACAAACAACTAATATGCTGAGGTCTAAGAAATGTGGGTTAAAAATAAAATAACAAATATTTTAAGAAATATAAGACATCTAATATATCTGTTATCAAATCTTATTAGTTATATAGATAGATACATTTACATATATATTTTTATTTTTACTCATCTCAAATAGGACTGGACAGATGTGAGTTGCCTGAAAAAACATCTGATATGATATTACTAACATATTCAAGTATTTCCCGTCTTTGTTATTAGTATCCCCCTCAAATCCAATTAACCAATATCTAATCGGATTTTAACGGATCATGAGTAGCCGAAAAGACCTAATAGAAGACATTAGCATTCCCATCAAATCCACATGCACTTCCGACACTCCAAGAACATGTGTTAGCCTGTTAAGGACAATGTTATTGTACTTAGTTTATATAAATTAGGAGTCTTAATCTAGATTAGTCAGGAGCTTGAGTCCCAAGTCTTATTCGTCTGCTACGAGTCTTGTTCTATATATATCCAATTAATTATTTGAATTTGAGTATCTATAATGAGAATATGTTTTGGAAAAAAAACAAGAAAATAATAATAATAATAATAAATAACTATGCACAATAAGAGGCCACAAGAATTTTAAGTTTATCTCATTAATAAAATATTTAATATAATTTAAATTGCGCTAATACTTTTTATTGGTGCTTGCGATTCGATCACTTCTTTTAAGACTCATCACTGCCATCGATAGCATTACCTATTGCTGGCTGGCCTCCTTCCCTCGCCCATTCTGGACCTCAGTATCTCCGAAGCCTTCCTTTCCGCAGCTCCCCGGCCCAAAAAGCCGAGCAAATGGCCGGGAAGCTGCTACGGAAGCTTAAGGATATGCTCAAGCACCGGCCGCACTCCTCTCATCACCGTCCCGCCGCCGCTGGCCCCTCGAGCGACGCCGCGTGCCGGGTGGCCTCCGTGGACGGCGGCGACAAGCAGGGTGACGGGCTCCACCTGGTCTACGTAGGTAAGTCGCGAAGGCGGTACCTCATTAGCTCCGACGTGATCGACCACCCTCTCTTCCAGATCATCGCCCAGCGTCACGCAGACGGTGACAGCAGCGGCGGCGCCGGCACAGTGGTTGGCTGCGAGGTGGTGCTGTTCGAGCACCTCCTCTGGATGCTCGTGAACGCCGACCTGCAGCCCGATTCTGTCGACGAGCTCGTGGAGTACTACACCTGCTGAGGACAGTGGTTGATCGATTCGCATGCACGCATCCGCATTAAATGTATTCATGTAAGTTAACGTGAGATGTGTCGTTTAATTCTCTGTCTATTAACGAGCGAGGCAAAAATAAAAGCAAATGAACTAACCTGTTCAAAACATGAAGGTTGGATATCTTTCCATCTCCATGTTAATGTAATTTGTAATGTCAACATGGGTAGTCTTTTACTCTCTTCTCCTCCTCCTCCTTCCTCCGATGTGGTTACCAAATCGAGCAGCTTACTCCGTCCATCGAATACCAATCACATCACCACTACGTTCTCCGGAGCTAATTCGGCGTAGAACGCAGCAGTTCCTTCAACTCTTCTTGCTGATTAAACCTCTCTCTCTCTCTCTCTCTCTCTCTCTCTCTCTCTCTTAGTCTCCATCAAGTCCTGCTGCTTATGTGCGAAGACTGTGAGGTCAGTCGTTGCAGGGTCTCCTTCTGATAAGAGGACCACCCATGTGCAGGTGTGGGCGTGGAGAACATTGCCTTCTGACAACCTACACTTGATGAACAACGTAAAGGGGGTTAATAATTCAAGGGAGTGTAAGAGGAAAGAGAGAGAGAGTGTGTGTGTGTGTGTGTGTGTGGTAATAGAAGCACATACAATTATAGCAGTTCGTCAAACCTGTTCTACCATTCCGACGTGAATGCATCCTCCTCACGTTCTGGGCTTCAACGTCTCACGTCGATCGGGCACACAGGGACAAAGCATGACCTCAGGTTCGACGACGTAACACAAAAAGCTCATCTGGACCACCTGAAAACACTGAAATGTTACACATGGCTTGGTTGCTTTTCTGTGGCTTCAACGTACCTGATGGTAGGGTTCCTGCAGTGGAGTTGAAAGGGAGGAGCTTTTCCTCGTGGGCTGCATCAAATCGCATGCATGATCTAAACCATTGTTGTTTCCGAGGACACATAGGGTGGAGCGGATCGGTGGACGCACTGAACCTTAATATTGACGAGGGAAGCAGCATCATCCGTGATGGGAAACGAAGGGAGAGTTTTGGCTGGTTTTTAGGGACATGATGAGCGTGCCCTAACAATGGACGGATTGTTGGCATATGTTTGGATTCATTCGGAGAGGTTTAGATGCATACGTGACTCGTACAACTCATGTTAAAATCCAATTGACTTGGGAAAAAGATGTCTAAATCCAATCGAAAGCCACAAACAATGAGATTGTGAGAGATAAATATTTTGATAGTCTATCGTAAGATCATAGCTTGAATTCCGTCCTTAATATTTATCTTTTATTAAAAAAAAGAAATTACGAGGCACACATCATTAATTCAGTAAGTGACAAAAAAAACAATAATCAAACCACAAAACAATATTTACATGAAAAATTCATTCTTCTTTGGTATAGAAGCAATTCAAGAAGGCTGACATGCTACTGGTTAATGCACTATTCCATAGTTGATGAAAATATTATATGTTTGCATTGTTTAATATAATGAAAATTATTATTTTTTAAGGAAACTGTGAATTTAGGATAAGTCAGTTTTCCAAAACGTAAGAAATGGATGGAAGAGGAAAAGGAATACAACTTTGTTAACGACACAAGACACGAAGGTTTCGGAGGTGGGTATATGGAGAAGGTCGAGTCTTCCGAGACCTATGGATGCGACTTGGGTCACGGCAGGTCGGCCCATTTATTGTTGTGTCGTGGGCTTCGGCCCAACTTGTTTGTAGAGCCCAATACGCCAAATCCAATTAGAATGTTACGAGCATCATTGGTTGGACCCGAATGACGCAACTAAGAAAAATTATCTCAAAAATAAATAAATAAATAAATAAATATATATATATATATATATATATATATATATATATATATATAAAGTTAGAATTGCAATCTTATAAAAGATAGCATATAAAATCACATTAGATATGCATTTGTGAAACGAAAACCGCTTCATAAAGAATTACAAGGAACTTTTTTTTTCTTTTCCAAAAAATAAATAAAACTCTCAAGAATTAATCCAATTTTAATGAATTATATTTCTTACGTATTATCTATCTAAGGTATAATATTTAAGTCATCAACTCAACTGTCTTTCCCTTACTCGTAAACAAAATATTTTTTGGTGAACGATTCCAAATATTCTAAGCTCGAGAGAAATGTTGAGCCAAAAATGTCACTATATAAATAATCAATTTTTCTCAAAAAATAATAAAAGAGTTTAATATTTTAAAGTACAATACAAAAAAAGTACTTTAAAAGTAATAATATTTTAAAGTCACTGACAACAAAAGAAAAATAAATATATGTAGCTTTATAGCTTTTATTGACGCTTTCTAAAAGTAAACTTAAATCGAGTTATGATTATTATCGAAATGGATCAAAGTACTCATTCACAATGAATCTTATGAAATAAAAGATCTGATGTTAATATATTCGAAACCTATTCGAAATACTCAAATTAGAATTCACCTATAAATAAAAAAAATATTATGAATTTTACGTACATCCTCTTAAATGAGTATCTAACCTAAAATATATGAGAGTTCCATTCATGATGTTGTCAAGGTGATCAATAACCTAATTCAGTGCCTTAATTTAATTTAAAAGAGAAAACATTGATCTATTGGAAGAACAAAAGAAGAGTTTAATTCATTGATTTGCATTTGACAAAGTTGGATCGTATGATGTCACTCCCTATTCACCATCAAGAAGGTTTTGCTAATAACCAACCCATCATTGCTTTCACCAATTCTTTTGACCCCAAAAGAAAGGGCTTCTAATCATAGATAAAGCTACTATACTTCATTTTATGCAACCAACCAACGAGCTCTAATAGTTAATGACCGGAGAAGTAGATGATGAGTGAAGAGGAAGACAGATGACTGTCTTAGTCACCGCTTCAATTTCTTGTGCATATAAAGCAATGACAAATTAAGGTTCTCTTTGGAGAGTAACTCAAAACAAAAAAAAGGACAAGAGGAGATGAGAAGAGTTGGAACATAAAGTGGAAAAGAGTAAGATAAGAGGAAAAAAGAGAGGAATTATAATAAATGCTCCTTCTAGCTTAGCTTACTTACTATATAAGAAAATAAGTTTATTTTCACTTATCCCCACAATTGAATGGCTGATTTATGGTAAGCAATATTCTCTAATGTATTTCTTTTGCAATTAACAATTGTATGTAATTCATATAAAGACCCAAAGAAAGTTTTATGGAAAAAAAAGTAAGGAGCATAGGATGATCCAAACACAAAAAATGAAGGAAGATACAACACCAAAGCTTTCTTTTTCGCGCATGACAAACGTGTACTTCTTCTTGAGACTTTGTAGCTCTTCCTTTTTCCAATCAATACAGATAACCCCATCGTGTTCAACATGGCTTTTCGTGTCTTCTCCTCCACGCATTTTTTAGCTTTGGACATAGCGAAGTTTCCCAAAGAAAATGTTGGAATTTATTGATTCTCTTGGAAATTAAATAATTTGTCTTCATGTAGTTGAATCAAATCAAATGCCTTTTTTAATCTTTTCATTAGTTACTCGTGACCATTAAGATCCAAAAATAACATAGCTTTTTGTTGGGTCCATTACTACGGAGTCATTGACATGTTTAGCGAGAACTAAGATTAGGAACAAAGCATAGAGAGTATAGAGTGTGAGATGAGCAAATGTCAATATCATGACTTGTGAAACTCTGATAATTATGATAGGGAAGAAGGTTCGGTACGCACGAGAAAGGAAAAAAAATGGAAGGTCGAGCCATTTTTATTGATTATATTTTTTATTATTATTTATTATATATATTTATTTATCTTGGATCATTCACTTATGGAGATTAAAATCCTTTTGAATGTGTTGATTAGTTTGATGGATAAACATTTTTAAACAGAAAGAAGAATTTTATGGAACACTATTCTGCATAATTGTTATTTCTAACTATTTTTACTTATTAGAACAAAGAAAAAAAAACTCTTTTTTTACCTTTTATCTTAACTAAAAAAGAGAATTGTTTCAATCATCTATCAATTTCTTCCTGTCATTGCCAGAGAGAAATTGTAAGTAATAGTCAATAAGTAGTACTACTACTACTACTAATAATAATAACAACAACAACAATAACAATAATAATAATAATAATAATAATAATAATAATAATTTCTATTTATCACGTACGCAATGCACACTTGGCAAGATGGTTCGCTCCGCCATCTCCAACCTCTCCTCCTCCACTTCTGCTCCTTAAACTATACCTATATTACTCTACACACAACCACTCCTCTCTTTCTCTCTCTCTCCTCCTTTTGTCGATCTCTCTCTCTCTGTACATCTCCTTCTAGCCCTCGTTGCAATGGCGGGCGCGGCCGTGGCGTCGCCCCTTTGCACGTGGATTGTCGCGGCGGCGTGCATGTCCTCCTCCGCCGCTTCCGACCAGGCGCCCCCCCCCAAGTCGGGCCGGAGGTGGACGACGATGGCGGCCCCCACCCGCGGCGGCCGCGCCCACCCCAGGCGGCGGCTGATCTCCGCCAACAGCAACTCCGGGATCCAGGGCATCGTGAGTGCCTGCCTCGCCTTCGAACCCTGCGCCGACTTCCGCGGCGCCGTCGCGTCGCCTCTCTTCGGCGACGGCGGCCTCTCGTCTCTCTTTGGGCTGTGGAACGCGGAGGCCCACCGATGGCGGCGGAGAACCGCCCGCTCCCGCGCTGTCTCTGGTAGTGTGCAATCGGCAAAACCCCGTTTCGGTGTCTTCTTTCTGATTTATCGATTTGTTTATTGGTAACTAAACCCTGATTCATCTCGATGTCTTTTTCCCTAACCCGCTGTTGTTGTCCGTCGGATAAATCTTGACTCTATTGATCTGTTGGATATGTTTTCCTAATCTCTGTATTCTCGTTTGCGAGATCTAGGTTTGTGATTAGTTGTTGTGCATGGAGATTTGGGTTCAAGATTGTGGTGTCACATTGCTTGCATGAAGAATCCTTTGCTGCTTAAGAATCCTAGTTTAAGATCTGTTTCCTTGGTTTGTTGTGGATGGCATGTGGAGCCACACTTAAGTATCTCCTTTGGTTGGCTTGGCGCACTCAGTTTATTTGCACCTCGTCCTTGATGACCCAATGTTCCTTTTGGTACCAATGTCTTCTAGCAATATTGTTTCCTTCATTTTGGTTTTATGACGATGGGCGGGGGGTTGCTTTATGTCCAGATCATGGAAAACTAAAATCTTTTGTTGCATATTGATGAGTCGCATCACATATGGATCTTCTTACAAAGTGATGAGTGATTCTCGTCTATGGAAATTTCTGTGTTTTCACTAATATGGTTTGTGGACAACAGGAAAAGTGATGGCAGTCGCCTTGGAGCCAACTAAGGAACTTACAGAGAAGAAGAAAAGGCATATAAAAAAGAGGAGGGTTGTTGTGACTGGCATGGGAGTGGTTACTCCTCTAGGACATGATCCGGATGTCTTCTACAACAATCTCCTTGAGGGTGTCAGTGGCATAAGTGAGATTGAAACATTCGACTGCTCCAGTTTTCCGACGGTATATTATTTTGCTGAGCAACTTGCTATTGATGTTTGGAGATAATAAAAAATCCATTTGAATCTCTTTATGAACTACTCTTGATGAATGGGTTGGCCTGTGGGTTCAGTTTAATATGGCAAGAATTCTTTTTTTATTAGAGTTCCTAATAACAGGCTCTTTTGTAGAGAATTGCAGGGGAAATTAAATCTTTCTCGGCGGATGGGTGGGTGGCACCGAAACTGTCAAAGCGGATGGACAAGTTCATGCTCTATTTACTGACTGCTGGCAAAAAAGCATTGGAAGATGGCGGGGTCACAGAAGAAGTCATGAGCCAGTTTGAGAAAACAAGATGTGGTGTGCTGATTGGGTCTGCAATGGGTGGGATGAAGGTACATGTTCTCCTCAGCGTATATCTGAATAGATAAGCTCCAAAAATTAGCACAAGCCACATAGTGAAACTTGGCACTTCAATGAAGTTGTTTACATTTAGTATTGTTCTTTTACATTCGATTGACTTTCCATATTTTGTCGGTTTTATGCTTATCATAATGCTTCATGTCGTAGGTGTTTAATGATGCAATTGAAGCTTTGAGAGTGTCATACAAGAAGATGAATCCCTTCTGTGTACCCTTTGCGACCACGAATATGGGATCTGCAATGCTTGCAATGGATCTGGTCTGCCAAATGACATATTCTTGGAAATCAGGATAATATGACTTTATGTACTTGGAGACATACTAATTGTTCATGTTCTTGTTGTCCTTAGGGGTGGATGGGCCCAAATTATTCAATTTCAACTGCATGTGCAACTAGCAACTTCTGCATTCTAAATGCAGCACACCATATCATACGAGGTGAAGCTGTAAGTTGTTCACTTCTTCCCACTGTCAGTTACCACCAGAAGCATGAAACTTGTGTGATTTTTTTCTAAATATTGTAGGATGTGATGCTTTGTGGTGGATCTGATGCGGCAGTCATACCAATTGGTTGGAATTCTCATTTTAATACAGCAACCTTTCATGATTGTGACCAACAGCACATATGTGTGACTACATGGTCATTAAATGTTTTGCAGGATTAGGCGGTTTTGTGGCATGCAGATCACTTTCACAAAGAAATAATGATCCCACCAAAGCTTCACGCCCTTGGGATGTTGTACGTAGTTTTGCTTTAACTTGTTATTCTATCATCAAAGTTACTGAAGACTATCTTAAGATACTGGACGGCATGTCTCTATTTGGCTTTTCGTATAGGTGCTGATCAAGTTTTAATATTTTAAACAAACCATTTATTGCTGCAGTGTGGTGATAATAGTCATGTTGGGACCCTGAAAGAAACCATCTTAAGTGGAAAAATGTCAGTAAAGGAGAACAATAGATACTTTAATTAACTGAGCATGTGTGGACCTCTCTGCATCATTTTTTGATGTTTCCTCCGTTTACTATTTTTATTCCTATGTTAGAGGTATGAAACTAATCTATTTTTGATTGATTATCATTAGGATCGTGATGGATTTGTTATGGGGGAAGGGGCTGGCGTGCTACTTTTGGAAGAACTAGACCATGCTAAGGTTAAACTAGGTTCATATTGTCAAATTCATAGGATCATCTCTTTACTTGTATTTTTTTTTTCTCTTGCAATTGTCTTGTTAATTTCTTTCTTTATTTTTTTTTTTCATTTTCTGCAGCAAAGAGGAGCAGAAATCTATGCAGAGTTTCTAGGAGGAAGCTTCACCTGTGATGCTTACCACATGACCGAACCACATCCGGAAGGTAACAAAATTTTTCTGCACATTACGTTTGTAAACAAATTTGTATTGCATCTGTTTTTTTTAATTCTTTTAACAATCACATGGGCCTTTGATAAATCAGGGACAGGCATTGTTCTCTGCATCGAGAAGGCACTATCAGAATCAGGAGTATCCAGAGAGGATGTTAACTATGTAAATGCTCATGCAACTTCGACACTTTCTGGTGATTTAAAAGAATATCAAGCTCTGATGTGTTGTTTTGGCAAGAACCCTGAGGTTAGTGATTAAAGTTAATGTTGTCTTATTTCTTTTTTTTCTTATTAACTAACTAAAAAACTTTGCAGCTGAGGGTGAATTCTACAAAATCAATGACTGGTCACCTGTTGGGTGCTGCTGGTGCAGTCGAAGCTGTTGCTGTTGTACAGGTAATGATTTCTAGCTTTCTTTATCTTGCTGGGTTTAGCTTCTGGGTATCTCAAATTTTGATCTCTCATCCTCACAAAATGCTTATCATGGCATTTGATGATAATAGTCGGACTATTATTTCTAAGCAATACTAATCTGTTCTGTTAAGCGTAAATAAAATAAATAGATCAGAGAGCTATGGATTACGAAATATCCATCTTGACAAGAAATTATCTATACATTAACATGTTTGTGACAAGGACTATAGCTCAATTGGTAGAGCACCTTGTTTACATGTGCGTGAATCTTACATATTCTAGGTGTGGTTAACTCATTAGGCTTCATTGCAGTCATTGGATATGTTGGTTTATCAAATCATTTTTTAATGTTTCTAAAATTCTTTATAATCTTGACTCCGCAAGGAATTATCACCAAAATTAAGAAATATCACATGGATAACCATTGGGTGTTTGAGGACAATTTAAGATAAATCCTTATCATAATCCAGATTTGGTTAATTTTTGAAACTTTAGAATTAGATGTTTAGGTTGGATTTGCAATGATGAGGTTTGCATGATATGCCGACTTGATGAACATGAAATCAGACAAGTTAGAAAGTAGAAACAAAGGAATTCAAGAAATTGGAAAGAACACTTTTAGAGTAGTGAACTGATTATCAAACTGATCGCTCCTTCATGTTCGTAGTGCTTATATGACTAATAAACTTACATATTATTGATGTCTGGGCAGAATAAAGTTATATAGTGTTCTGAGTGATTAAGGATCAGAATAAGCATGTTTGTTGCCAAGTTGGCAGCATTAAAGTAAATTTCATGCAGATAATCACACTTGATAGGTGAAGAAGTAGATAAAGCAGAGCAACAGATTCAACAAACTGTTGCATACAGAGTTGTAGAAAACTCTGAATGATTGTCATTGGTGTTAATAGTGATTGTGTAGAGGGGACCAGGCTTTTTAGTGATGACACTATACAGAAGCATATTTAGTTTATCCTGTAAGTTAGAAATAAAGTTAGGATCAATACAAACAATAATGTATTTTGATGTCATTTGATCATCTTGAGTCCATCAAAATTAGATGGAACTGTAGACCATAGACATAAGTAGAGTGCAATCTTAATGGATATGGAAGGGTGGATTTGGTCGAACAAGGCCTTCATGTTGCGCCGAGATTGGTTTGTATAAAAGCCTTTGAGGGATCTCTTATTCAAGGCAGGGCTTTAATTATGTAACTTAAATTCTCCAGCATTGCAAAGGCCACATACACATGAGTGTCATGGGGGTGAGAAAGCATTATCAGGTCCAGGTATCAGTGGAAAGTGGAATGTTAAAAAGAGAAACATGGTATGGCTTATTTAACTGTAGTTGACAAGAAGAGCATTGTACAGGACAAAAAGGTTGGTGGAGCTCAAGCTTGTGTGAATTGGTAAAAGTGTGAATGGAAATAACTACCTAGAAATAAAGAGACAGAGTACTAGTGCATGTGTTGATTTGTAAAACAATAATGTCAGAAACCAAGATCCAATTGATCCTTGCTGAAGCTAGTTTTGAACATTCCATAATTAGCCAGGATTACTGATTTTGAACCCAGGTCAATCCAATGTGACTGGTTTTGGGTGATTTAGTTGCAACTGATTCCAGTTTATCATTGTTTTATTAAGGGTTTCGGTATTGAGTTGGTCTGGTCTTTGGCATTATCATGTGTTGATCAGCCAATCCTGCAAACCATGCAAAGGAGGTAACCGTCAATATCAAATTTATTGTTTTTAAGAATTTCAGAGGTCATGTAGCTATTTTGGTGATTACCTAGGTTTGGAAGGAGTACAAGATGATACAAAGTATAGAAGCTAATGGGTATATGATGATTGCTGGCCGAGACTGATTTATAACTATGAGATCTTAGTCCTAGATTTTTTATTAGCTTAATTTTAATTTGGCTTTTCACATCCAAGAGTTGGTTTATGTTCTATCATGTAACATGTGATAGATGATGCTTACTGCTTATTCATAGCTTATGGCTGTTTGATGTTTTAGCTGAACAATGCTTAACTATCTTATGGCTATTTGATATTTAAGGCGTAGTTAAACAATGTCTAACTATCTGGTTTATCTGGTTGCTATCAATTTCAGATATGAATGTTGAATGCCATCTTGCCTCATCCGCATCCAAACTTATCGAGATGCTTGGCCTTGTCCTGGAATCAGGAACTTTTTGCACAATGCATTATTGAGAGGATGACACTAGCATCTAATTCCCTCAAGAAGTTAATGACCTATCCTCATCTCCTTTCCTTTCATCCTTCTCTATTTCAAGTGTTAATGGAACAGTAGCAATCTCTCCTGTGAAATAGTCAGAGCCACAAGTTCTGTTTTGACTTTTTTTGTGGTTTGTCTATTTTCCCCTCCACCTATGGCTACCATATGAGTTATTGGCTTCCTTCCATACCTCTCTTATCTGTCCTTTTTTGAGTTGACCAAAATTGGCTAGACTAGGTCCCAATTCTGAGTGATGTCTAGTGATAATTTAGCCAACATTAGATAAGCCATGGTTAATGCCAGTATGGATCGAGCATATGGTTTAAGAATTGACTGATATGAGAAACTGTATTTTTATCTTTGAGTATGATATGGAGTCGTTTTCATTTAGTGTCAGATGTGGGTGGCCGTGGATGGATTTAAATTTTGTTTGTACCAATCTGATGGTTGACCAGTCTACAAACAAGACTATTTTGCTGCATCGAAACAATGTTTACCACCTTGTGAGCCTACTGCCTACCATACGAGACTTATTGGGTGGTAAGATTACCAATACTCGACTGTATCAGTCAATAAACCTTTCGTCCGAGGCCTGTACTAACAAATATTTTTTTTAAAAAATCCTATTTACATCCTACCACTTCTTTCTCTTTCTCCTCATCCTCCTATGCCCCTCTGGTTCTGCCTTGGCCTCATCCTTGTCTTCTCATCTTTTTATCTTACTGTCTTTTTGCTTCCTCTGTCATTGCTATCTCCTCTTCTCTCTCTCTCTCTATCGATTTGGTTGGTGGGTGTCGACCAGTACCGATCTGTACTGTTACTCATCTAACACGCCAATCTATATAGGTATGAGACTGAAATTTTAATCCTACTGTTGTGTGACATATAATAGGAAATATACCATAAAAAATTCTTTGGGGCATCTAAAGTTGTGTTAAATATCTTACCTCGGTATTGTTAAATCCTAGCCTAGACATTATAATCCTATCAAAGTTAGATTTATACAAAAACATATAGTAATAACATGAAAAAAAAAAAAAAATTGAAACTTGTAAGGTAATAGGGAAAAAGAACTGATACTATGCTGCAAATTTCCCTGCAAAGCAGATGAGGATTTATTAGTCTTGCAAAACTTACTTTCATTATTAATTATGTTGAGAGATTGACTAATATGAGGGTTTTTTTCTGATTTACTCTCAACCTATCTGTAATTTTATGTAAAGGAATGATGCACCTGTATCTGTTTTCACATTAGTCAATCACTTGCTAAGCTCTGGGGCACATCCTGTGTGCAGGCTATTCGAACACGGTGGGTCCATCCAAATATTAATTTGGACAACCCGGAGAAAAGTGTGGTATGTTCACATCTCTTGAATTTTCCTCTGCTGTGAGTACTGATATCTTTGTTCACATTGAAAATAACTTTCACACCTCCAGTCACAAAATCTAGCAAAAGATATACTACTACTTTTCAGTATGGTGATTAGTTTTGATGACTGTTAGATGAAAAGCCTGATCAAGCGACAGGCTTGATCATATGTTTTGTCATATGTTTTTTTTTTTTGTCATATGTTTTTTTTTTTTTTGGTTCTTTAATATTGCTAGAGATTAACTGTTGAGTTCGATTTGATTCAGGATGTGAATCTGCTAGTAGGTTCGAAAAAGGAAAGATTGGATGTGAAGGTAGCAGTATCTAATTCCTTTGGGTTCGGTGGGCACAACTCATCTATCCTGTTGGCACCTTACAAGTAATAGTGGTATGGTGGTGCTAAAAAACATGTTTGAAAATGGCAGGCCAGCATCAGATACCCCCTGTACCCTAGTTTTTTTTTTCTTATTTTGTTTTATCAATTTTCCTGATATTATTATTCGCTGATTCCACATGTTTTAAGAAAGAATAGATCAGTTTTTTTTCCCCCTGTAAAACAAATATTGTTTGTCATAATATTTGTTCAATCGGTATATGCGTCCGAGATGCTAAACAGTGGTGCTAAAGTTTAACTAGCACAAGCAGGGAAGGAAGCACGAACAATATGACCACATTGGAATGGTGTCAGAGACATCGGCCTGTAAATCTAGTGAATGGTAAATTTCGATTCTCCTGCTGTTCCTTTACTGTTTTATTCTCGTCCTTGTGAAGTTTACTGGATGAAAGGCTTACTAGGAAAGAAGGATTAGTTGTTCCATTAATCTGACTTGCAGCCTTAAAAGAACAGTTTGTCCACCAAACTGAAAGCTGGGTGATATGGATCGACTCATTGGATCTGTTTACCTCTCACTTACTGCTCAAGAATTTGCCATCTTACAACTGGTACTTGGTACGTGGATGCATCATGTACCATTTTGGCACCAGTGTTCGTATATTGTTTGGAATGGCATCTTCTTAAGTGACAATGTCATCCTACTTCTTATCCTTTTGGAATCAGTGGTGGTGGTGGTGGCGGCGGCGGCGACGGCACACTCTCCATGAGACACGTCCCTTTTTTGGTGATCTTGCATTCAAGATCCGATAAGTTCATCGTTAGCTAGTTTGCGGTGTTATCGGCCATGCGACTTGCAACTTCCAATGGTTTATAGCAGCCTCTCTTGAGAATTGAATGGGGAGACGTTGTATTTAGTCGATATGTCATTCTCATCGCTTCCATCGTTTGATGTCTCCGCTTAATCGACATATGGACATACTTTGTTGATGCCCCAAATATCTTTCAAAAATATGATGAACTTAAAAAAGTCATAGAAAAAAATTATAAAATAGAAAAACGGAAAACTAAAACTTAATCACTCAACTAATTCAGGCTCTATCTTTATCTCTTTTTTATTCTGCATCATACAATCTATCTGCAATAGTCATCCATGCTCTCCGCCTATCTTTGATCAATCATAAAATTCTCATCTCTCACGAACCATTCTTTAAATACGAAATCCATTGGATCAAAACATAACCATCTACCCAACTATTTAACATTTTCAGTATAAAAAATTTATCGGGTTTTTATAACTTTTGTATCTTGAAACGATTATAAATATCTTTGATAACTGACATCATAGATTCTTCTTTTCATAGGAAACTAAAAATTGCTTCTAATTCAATTTGTTCTAATAAAATCAATACTATCCCCATCTTAATCTGAATATTATTATTATTTTTATATAATTCTAATATCTAAAAGAATTGACATACCTGCAGATAAAAAGGAGCAAACATAAGCCACATACGGTAAACCGAACAACAGAGCTTGGAGCAAGTGTCGACCACCGTGAAAGCAAACAGAAGCCACCATGCATGCATATCCCATACGTTAGCTTTGAAACCCTAGCCGCCTTCCGGATACCGGTCGACGCAGTCGAGCCAGGGGCTCCTGTTCGGCCTCCGGACTCGCCGTGTCGCCTTCCACACCGCGCTGTTGCACTTGAACCCGGAACCGAACGCGATCTGCCACACCCGGTCGCCACCACGCACTCGGCCTTTGGCTTCCAGGTACGCAAGCTCATACCAGATGCTGCTGCTCGACGTGTTGCCGAAGCGGTGGAGGGTCGCAAGGGAGGCCTCCATGTGGCGGTCTTCGAGCCGCAGATTCTTCTGAAGCGCGTCCAGCACCGCCTTGCTCCCGGCGTGGACGCACAAGTGCTCGAAGGCGAGCTTGTACTCGGCGATGTAAGGCTTGGTGCCAGCGGAGTCGGCGGTCTTCTTGGGGAGGAGGTGACGATAGAAAAGGGTGGCGACGAAGAGGAGTTGCTCGGAGAAAGGGATGACGCGGGGGGCGAAGGTGGTGATGTGGGCCTTGAGTGCATGGCCTCCCACCTCCATGAGGTCACGGCTGATGCAGAGGCACTTCTTTCTTTCCTCGTCCTCCTCTTGATACACGCACCTTGAGGAAGAAATCATAGGATCTGTCACCGACTCAGTTATGGTATCTCTGCAACCAAGTACTAATTCACCAACTCAGTCGTGTAATCACCTGAAGCTCCGGCCGTCGCCGCCCTTGTGGGTCCTCACGATGTGCTCGAGCCGGTACTTGGCCCGGCGGAAGTCTCGCCTGCGGTTGGAGAGCAGGACCGCGGAGCACCCCATGCGGAAGAAGCAGTTCGGTATGAGCATCGACCGATTGCGGCCGGTGTACCAGGTGAAGGACACTGCCTCGGTGCTGACCACGACGGCGTAGCTGCTGGGATTGGCCCGCAGCATGTCGCGGGCCAAGTCGAGCGCGATCACGCCGGCACTGCACCCCATCCCGCCGAGGTTGTAGCTCAGTATGTTGCTCCTCATCTTGTAGTGGTTCAAGATCATGGCCGAGAGTGACGGCGTGGGGTTGAAGAGGCTGCAGTTAACGACGAGGATGCCGATGTCCTTCGGCCGGACGCGGCACTTGTCGAAGAGCTCGTCGAGGGCGCTGATCATGGCCGTGGAGGCCTCGGCGCGGCCTTCTGTCATGGTGGCGCAGTTGCCTGGAGAGAATATGGACTTGGGGACATAGGTCTCATCGCCGATGCCGGAGGACTTCAAGATCCGGGATTGGAACGCTAGGCTCTCCTCGTTGAACTTGCCGGACTTCCTCGCCAGCTCTATGAACTCCTCGTTGGACACCTGAGAGAGAGAGAGAGAGAAGCATAGCAGCTTAGGATATCAACATTGACCACCATGAACGCGGGCGTGCAGTTCACTACCTTCAGATCGTCGGAGGGGCGGTAGCAGGCGAAGTCGAGGAGGTAGATGGGCCTCGGCTTCCACATGAAGTAGACGGCGACGGTGAACGCGAGCGCAACAAGGAAAGCTAGCTGGGTGGCGAGATCGTAGCTCGTCTCCTCCCACGCCTTCCTCCACAGCGCCTCTCTGCTCAGACTTCCCACCACGGCGAGCAGAGGTACGGTAGCCCAGTACACGGCATGGCCGACAAGGTTGCGGTAGCCCAGCTTAACGTAATTCAGGTTCACCGACTGAAGGAAGTCCGGCAGCCTCCGCCGCACACGGACCGAGAAGGTGGGTGAACCGGCGTCGGGGCCGGAGGACTCGATTCCGCGGTTCACGATCTCTGCCGACAGGAGCGCGTGCTCGCCGGCCATCTATCTCTCTTCTCTAGAGAAGCAAAAAGAGCTTAGCTTGTGGATTGTGTGATTACGAAGCGAAAACGGTTATATATAAAAGGGGGAGGTGGGTGAGGAACAGCTGGTGTTTGCACCAACCAAAACCGAAAGAGAGTGTAGCTGAACCACCAGACTTCCCAACGATCGAATTAAGGTGACCTGTCTGAGAATAATTACTTTTCCAGTGGAAGTGTGAATTAAGAAGGTGAACCACCATAATTTCTTTCGGTTGAGGTTTTAGAGGTTGGATGGCTATACTAACTTCCAGCCACTAGTTTTCTGGGCCTGTTGGAATCGACCCTTTGAACCACCAAGTTATCCAACATTTTAGCCCTTCATGTACGTGATTGTACTTTATATTATGTGTAGCCAAATCATCCCTCACAGTAAAATGGAGGAAACAAACATATAGTACAGTTAATTACAATGAAAACAAAGTAAAATGTGAAAAAATAATGGCTCAGAAACTTATGAAAGCAGTAGATATTGGCATCAAAAATAAAAATAAAACCATGCAATAGATCGGTAGCAAAACTTGATTCTGAACTAGATCTCACCTCTCTTTTACCTTTTTACCTATTTGCCTTGTCTAACAAAACCATTTATGTTCTTAATGATATCATGGGAATAAGACACGTCAACAAAATTTAGACACCAAAGGAAATGCAATCATTTTGAGAAAGAATAAATAAAAGTTTAGCAGAATCTTCTTACTTGGTGCGAATGATTCTTGAATTCTTGCTCTCTCTCAGACCGTGCAATGGAGTGCAAAGAAGAGATAATCCGCATACTCCGATTCATGTCTCTCCGCTCAACCAGCAACAATGAACATCCACTGCCAAAATAGGTTGCGGAAACACACCACATTTCTTAATCATTCTGATTCCACACCCTATTTTCCAGCTCACATCATTGAAGCGAAAAGGGCCTGTGTAAGAACTATTATTTATTTAGTCGACCAGAGTTAGCAATTAAGTGCATACCTTAAGTAGGCATAAAACAATGATCAGCTTGAGGATTTTTAGTTTGTTACAGGATGCACAATCACTATGAGATAGAAAAAAAAAGCATGACAAATTCTAATAATATGAACCAATCATGTCCTGGCAAAAACTTGTATAATTTGGAGCAAATATAGCCTTGAGGATTTTAGTTTGTTACAAGATGCACAACATATGTGAGACAGAAGACAAGCACAACACCTCGGATAATTTGAAACATTATAATTCATTTATTATCACAAAACCAGCATATCAATTAAAATTTCAGACAAGACGTCACCAATAAATCATGCATTCAGCATGAAGAACTAACCTTAAGTACTCAATCTTCATATGCCTCCTTTACCTCTCCGACATCCATCTCGGATTCATCTATAATGGAAGAATCATCCATCGTACCAAAGATCTCTCCATCCTCAACTTCCATCAAACTACTTCTATTGTCATGATTCCCCTCGATCAAATCATCCTTAGAATCAGAGAAATCACTATAATTGTTTATTCTCTTCCTCCTCCCTCTATAACCAGTAAGTCTGAGAATTTTTTCCTTCCAAAGCACCAAAGGGCATTTGTCTATCAACTCCGAACGATCATATGCTTCTGTCAGAAAGACACTAAACCGCTTACCCCTTTCAGAAACGTAAAAAATGCCAAAGTGTTTCAGAAGAAGCCGCATTAGCTTTTGAGGCATTACAAATTCCCTCCGAAAGTGCGTGAGGTGATCGGTGACAAGCCTCTTTTCGATGGTAAAACTCAATATCTCATGCATAATGGCTACTGCCCTTTTATCAAATTCCTGTGATCCAGGCATTAGTCCTCTTGCTTCAGCATAAGGTGACAGGTATGACCTCTTCTGAAAATGCTCAATTCGTCCACCATGTCTAAAGACCTTACCATAGTTTGGTGGAAACTTCATTGGAAAAGGCAGACAAAGAACTCCAGGCTCCCCTGGTGGCTCTGAGATAATTCCTGTTGCCACAGCTTTCTTCTCTAACTCTGTAACCGCCCAAGAAGGGTTCCATGCCGTGAGTTGCAAATACTCATCATCTTCTATTCTCCTGACTTTGAAGTGTTCAGGGAACATATGAATCCACTTCGTCCTGAAATCATACGGAAGGCCCATGTCTCTCCGAAAATGTATTATCTTATCGACAGGAAGCCTTTTATCCACAGACATCATCAGGAGCCTCGTAACATGCTCAACTGCCTTCTCCGAATGCTCTTCCAGAAGCCTAGCCTCTTCTTCTACGAGCTCCTCGGCTTGCTCCGTAAGTCCGCACCATAGCACTCCCTTCTTGTCCCTGTAGATCTCGAACAGCTTGGGCGATTTGCGGATGAAGTCCTCGACTTTATGGGGCTTACTCAGACTGATCTGCTGCCGATACTGCTCCAACCGCTTCAGAGGTATTACTTGTTCAGGCTCTTTCTTCAAAACCTCCATTATGACCAACACCTTCGAAGCAACCTTCCAGCATTCAGTGACAACTTCAAGATCATGCACCCGCTTCTTCTTGCTTCTGTCCTGGACCCGTCGACTCTTTGCCATTGATCGCTTTTGCAAGGCTGAGTGAAGCCAATCAGGAGAAAATGCACCTCTTCCCGTCGACACAGTTGAACATGATACACTATCATCGAAAACATGCAATAGGAGCCGTCTACCAACCGATGCAAGCCTCAGTACATCAGAAGCACCACGGCCTGACATTGATTTGACTAATTTTTGTCAAATATAACTCAAAGGAATATGTTTCTCTTCTTTTTCAATGCAACCAGGATTCCCCTTCGTGCCTTGGTAACGAGGACCTGTGGCTGGACCACGTAACCATCCGATGAACACAAGAAGTATGATCGAAGAAGCTTCAGAGTATATAGAGAAATCAAATTTCGACCTCAAATAATCTGGTAGCAAACCATCTGAATCCAACGTCACCTACCCACACGGACTGCCAGTATGGTGCTCGTTAAAATGTCCAAAAGAAATTCATCTATCGATATGGGACAAGGGGTCGGTGTGCCACGAGCGAACCGAATTTTTAACGTCGATGTGACGGCTTCTTCGATCCGACGGAATCCGCCGGCCGGCACGGAGTAGGAGAGAGGATAGTGGGAAGCGAGGTTACGCGGCGCCGATGACCAACAATAGCAATGCGCCGCACTCCGCCTAATCCACGTCTTCCGCTACGCTTGGCCTCGGTCGCACATCCAGCCCTCTGTGCTAGCCTCGAGTTCGAGCGGCTGGCCAAGGTCGTCGAGCAGACAACGAGCTCTTCCGGGCAGGAGTCCGCCTCACTGGAGGAAACCGATAGTGAGAGAGAGGGCTAGGGCTTGGCTTAACGGGAAAGAAGAGCCGGCACTGACGGACCGGTTTGGTTCGGTCCACTAAAAACACTTCCGTTTTCTATTACCAAAGTAGAAAACTGTAATACAAAAACATGAAACAACTTCACTCGTGTCTTCTACTGTTTGAATGATTGAGAACAACTTGTACGTCGTCGTTATTTCTTCCCTTTCTTTCTTGTTTTTCTGTGCTAGGATGGATCTCGATAAAGACATAATGAATCTGAATCAGAGACTCTGACACGCATACTTGTATAGGAAAATTAAGACGCTTAGAAGTTCCAAAGAGGAACGCATTCGTTGCCGCCATCATCGTCGTCGTCATCATCATCATCATGGCCACCACCGCCGTCGCCACCAATCCAGAAATCATTGTCCTCCAGCGGCCACACTCCGCCAACCATTCCGGAGTCGAACAAGTCCGGCAACGACTCCTCCACCGGCTCTCCCGACATCCCCAACCCCGAGCTACTCTCGCCTGGATCCACCGCTTCCTCACCACCTCCCTGTCGAGCTTCTCCCTCCTGCGGCCGCTTCGCGCCTTCGTGCGCGTGTCGCACCGCCGCGGCCCGTATCTCGTACTTGCTCAGCTTGTCCGCCGACGGTATGTTCGGCGGCTGGTCCGGGAAGTTGAGCGCCTCGCCGGGGCCGCGCAGGCAGTACACGGCAGCGTCGTAGGCCCTCGCTGCCATCTCGGGCGTCGCGAACGAACCGAGCCACAACCTCTCCCGGCTGTTGGGGTACCTCGCCTCCGCCACCCATTTCCCCCACTTCCTCCTCCGAACCCCCTTGTACTTTGGCGCCACCCCCTTGCTGGAACTCGGCTTCTCCATCCCCAGACGCAGTACACACGTCATGCGCTGACAACATCAGGATGAAGAAAGCCTGTATTTATAGGAGAGGGAAATCGGAGTGCGGCAGGGTCAGCGCGGCCGCAGTAGAACAAAGTCCACAGTCGCTTACAACAGCCGTACTTGGGGATCTTTTAATGCCTGTGGACGGAGAAACAATATGTCCCACCGGAGAACGACCCAAGCGGGTTTAAGCTTCCACATGCACGGTGGAGATGTACGTACAAGGCCGCAGCATCAAACGGCGAAGGGTCGGCGTGGCTTCGCCTCATGGTTTGGAGGCTCGCCGGCCTTTGGACGGAGAGAGTCGCCGAATTGCGTCGTCTTCCCTAACACGGATGACAAAAATCCAAAACCATGCAATTTTCAACGATTTCGACAGCAAAACAGTCGATTTTGTATGTTTATGAACGTCTGAAATCATATGATCCTGTCGATTCAAGTGTGTAATTGTTGGAAGTTGAATCGAGGATAAATTCCGGCCAAGAAAAGATCCTTAGTCCCATGCATCGTGGCATGGAATGCCACAGCGGTTATCTCCGGTGACTCTCTCACCGCAAGCTTCGTGTCTTGATGTCTGTATCGACGAGCTATCACTGTTAAAACAAAAGGTTAACAGCAATTACTACTGCATTCACCACAGGCATAATAATAATAATAATAATAATAATATGATTAGCAATATTTGGTCAATCTCTATTATCATCTTAGACATATAAATCAATCAAAGTATCTGAATCCGATCAAAGTGAGCCCAACGAAGGCAATCATCTCTGGCCGTGGGAAAGGGTGTCAACGTCACGGCCTCACCCAATGACGAGTCCGCGTGGGCCTTCCGGTGAAACACGGGGCTCCACTCGGCGTCACGTGAGAGGAGCGAAGCTTGGATGAGCGTGTAAAATCGCACGTAGACCGGTTCAATGGCATAGAAGGATATTTTGGTCATTCGACTAGTCACTTTGGTACCGTTCAGTTTCGGGTACCACCTCAAACTGACGTCGTATTAACCCCCCGACACGTGTGGGTCACTTGGCCTGCTATCTGTCACCATCTCGCGGTCATCCCGGTCTTCCGTGCAATTCCTCTACTGCTTCAACGCTTCAGTATACGAGCCACCGCCTCTGCTGTTTTCTTGTGATCTGGACCGTCCATCTATGTATTGGACGGTTTCGATTGCTCATTGCGGTGTAGGCGCTTGTATGTGAAAGCCTTACATGGGAACTCGCAGACCTTTTCCTTCGGCCGTGGTTTTCTGAAGCCAATCGTAAAGAAGCGACAGCGATTGAAGTAGACGTCGACGGGAGTCTTGGAAGTCGTCTCAGGAAACACGGAGCGAAGGCCAATTACTCCACCTCTCCGGCCACGGAGATCTGAGACGACACAGGCCGGGATGGTGCATCAACCACGCCCAATCATCGGAAAGCTGCCGGACGCTTTCGGTCTCGGTGACCGGATGTGGCTCACCGGCGCAATCCCGAGCCCGACCACCCCATCCGAGCGGAATTCCCTGTATCCGAGGAGGTGGAAGAATAGCGATTCTGGTGGCGTCGGACTAGGCATCGCAGTGGCGCTCGAGAAGGCCGGCGGCGAGAGCCCGAGGAAGCTCCACGCGACGACTTTACCGATCGCGATCGGTTCGCCGAGGACGAGTCGTCCTCAAGTGTGCCCCGGGGGTAGGCATTGGGAGAGGGCTCAAGGGGGTTGTTGTGCATCGCCACCGCCGGTCGCCACCGAAGAGTCCCAGGTGGCTGACTTCCTCAGCAACTGCTTTCTGTGTGGGAAGAGGCTACACGGGATGGATATCTTCATGTATAGGTATGCTGCAAATCCATGCCTTTCCCAATCATTTATTCTATATCGTTTTCAGCTTCTAGCTTGCTTTATTGAGCTGATGAAGTAGAAATTAATCCGTAGCTTTGATGGATTCGTGATCGATCGTTATGTGTTCTAATCGAAATGCAACTTCCACCGCAGAGAGAAGGCGTTCTGCAGCATGGAGTGCCGATATCAACAGATGGTGAGCGACGAGTACCAGGAGAAACGTGGCGTTGAAGCCCCGAATCCATCTGGCTCGCCCTACTCCGGCGGCCAACTCTTCTTTACGGCTATCGTGGTGTCATGACTCCCCTTCGTTGTTGAGGCTGAGATCAGGGCATCAAATATTCCGGCATCAACGAGAGATGATCCGTTGCTTGTAGGCGGAGACGTGCGTTCGAAGTATGCACCTTTGTATGTGCATCCATAGGCGTATACGTTTGAAGGTTCGCAAGATTGAGCAAGAATCGTTAGTTGATTTGCCCGAGGAAAAAGATGAGACAGAAATTGTTACTTGTAATCGAAGTTTCAACACCTGTGTGTGTTTTTGCCAATAATTGAACTCGAGACATCTTGGTTTACTCTTTTTCTTCTTTGGTTCCTTCTTCAATTCTTCCTTGGAGCATAGATTACTAATGCCACCAACCACACCAACATACACATTTAATACTACCATTAGTCTGGGCATGACGTATCTGCAAAGAAAGCTGGGATGTTTCTAGGTAGAATAAAGCAGAAAAAGCTACATGAATGAGGTCCATGGACATCAAACCACAAAAGCAACACAACGAGATCGTTTATCCAAAGACTGGGACTGTACGTTAATACCAAACCCTAAAAGCAACGCACTGAGAATTCCCTAAAGTTCTAAAAACAAAGAGATGAAAACTGTATATAAAGGATAGGAGGCTATTCAGGTGGTCTTATCAAACCCTACAGACACTCCATAGGTCTACATAATTGTGCAGTGCCGGTAATACAAGTATACACACGAAAACGTCAAGTATAAAAGAAGATATAAGAACAATAAAAGAGAAATCTCCAAGATCCTCGGTCGATCATATGGGTCTGTGGATGCATACGATCACTAGTAATACATGAGCTGCTGTGCTGCACCAACATTTTGGAACCCGCCATTGTAGATAGCCTGGCTGGCTCCGGCACCCATCCCCATTGCAGCTGGCTTCAGAGCATGCTGACCCTGAGCATGAATCAGTGCCTGGTTGGCACCCATCTTGCTCAATGCCATTACACGATCATAACCAACGAGGTCGGTTGCAGAGAATCCAGGGAATGGAGCAGCCAAAGGTGGAGGCAGTGGCGTGGAGGTCGTTCCTGGTGCCGTCGGTTTGTTGCCCCAGGAACACTGAAACCAAAGCAAGTCAATGAGCTGATCAAACACAGCATTCGTAGATATATGCAGTGAAGTCTATATAAACAATGAATGTAACGAGAAGAAACAAAGACATTCAGTCGAATAATATAATTTCATTGACCCATCAGAACATGATTTCCTACAGTGACACAAAAGCCAGATGGTGTGTGCACACCACAGGAGCAATCAAGGCTGCATCATTCAACAGTCAAACTTCTTGGAGACTATGACGCATGAACACTACAAAATAGTTGTCGTGTTCATGCCATATTCATGCTAAACACAGACACTTGCAACAGCCCAAAACATACCAAGAAACTCACAGCATCTACACCTATGGTAAACAATGGAATATATGGTAAGACAAATCATTTAAACAAGGCTTCAAGAGATGATTAACATTGACAATATCTATTTAACTGCAACTAATGTGAATCATGGTAGTACTTTTCTTACAATCTAAACAATCTATGACCACCATATGTACAGTTCATAACAAGTATTAATTGTCATATTCATGGCAATCTTTTCCTACTCTTATACTGTGTCAGTGTGCATCACACTATGATGTGGCATGTGTGATTGTCCATGCTCCATTATTTGAAGGATGGTAAAACAACTCAAACAAGGATGTTAAGTAGCATTTTGTAGTTGCAACAGTTAATTCATTGAAACAATTTCCAAAAGATTTATGATTCAATGCTAACTCCTACACTATAATGAGCATAGCTCGAAATATTATGAACAACATAAAAAAAAATTACAACTTAAATGTTACCAAAAAATAACATAATCAACACTTTGTATACTGACACAATAAGAAAAAAGATCATTAAGGTAAAAGGTAGAGTATATTACATAAACAGATAAAACTAATAACATTAAGAAAACAATTGCAAATACAAGTAAGCGAATTATTTGGTTCCTGAATCAGTGGCAATAGCCAAAACATAAAAAATATTTCATCCACGCTAGAAAATGTGATCTTCTGGCTAAAAGAAAAGGCGATTTTTCAATTTAATGAATCAGTGTCATGAAAAAATATATATCAGTGTTTGAATCAACCAATCAAAACTAGAGAAAGTAGGTTCTCTTTTTTCCTTGTTCATTCATTATATGACTTACCCAATCATCAGATTTGAAACTCATTATATAGCACAAACAGATGATACATTCAACAACAGAATTTTGCCATTTAAGGTATGAGTAGCTAACTTGGCTGAGTCATGTATCTACTGTCAAATATCAACTAGTCCAAGGCTGCAAATTAATCAGTCAAGTACATCATCCCATGTCAGCAGAGGACTTAGATTTAACACTGTTCACCACAGGCAAGCTCAATGCTTGTATGAAGTTCAAGTTAATATCCCAAAGGAATCAGCATTGGAAATACCCAGGCTTGCAGAGGAAGACCAACACTGGTTTTCTCAAACATAAGCTTCAATTGAGGACATCCAAATAGTAAATGAACACAGCTTAAAAATTGAATTAAAATTTGCCATAAAAATGAGTCTTGTAAAGCCACAATTTTGAACAGAACCAAAAACTCTGACAATGTATATCCATAGATTCAAAAACATCTAAGCTCCAATAATATATATATATATATATATATATATATATATATATATATATATATATGGGCACTAGAATTCAATGTAAATGTACCAAATAATCCAACTATACCTTAATTGGCTTTCCACAAAATATTCGACCATTTCCCATTTGAATAGCCAAAGCAGCTTCAGAATGGCTACTGTATCTCACGAAACCAAACCCTTTATCACGTTGTATACGAACGTCCTCAATGACTCCAGCACCAAGGGCATGGAAATAGCGGTGGAGATCAACTTGAGTAACCTGTCATTTTTTTTTACATTTCGACAACTCAGAACAAAAATGACCTCAACAACAGATAATGCAATTTGCAAAATCAATTCAGACATGATCAAATAATTATGACAAGCACTGAATGGCAGCTAAATCCTCTAAAACAGACTGAAGCAGCAATAGGGTACCCACCAAAGAATCAATATGAGCTTTGTGACATGTTGCATATAAATGAGATACTGATACCAGTAAAAAGTTCACATTTTGAAAAAACAAAAACCAATATACATTGGGTTGGGGAGTGACAGTTGAATTGATAGAAGAATATCATGAGGGGAGAGGAGATGGTGGGAGGAGAGATGCTTACCTCATGAGCAAGGTTACCCACATAGACAGTTGTATATTGTGGGTTATTCTCTGGACCATCATCATTTGTGTACTCTTGGCCATCTTCTGCATGGTAAAAATAATTATGGCCCGTAAATCAAAATGCTACTACAAAAAACAAGATAAAAAATAACAGCTAATGTTGAACTATTCTGTCAAGCAATGATCATAAGTAAAACATGCTCGGACTCGGGCAATTGCATCTTGATGTGCCATCTAAATACAAGCTACAACCCATACAATTATTAATTCCTAGTAGATGGGTACACAATATCTTGCTGCTACATTTGAAATGACTATGTAAATATTACATTAGTATGACAAACAACTTACCAGGTACTTTTAGCAGAACATCATCTTTATCCATCAAACAATAAAAAATTGACTGGATAAATCAGGGTTATATATGACTTCACATTTGCAGAAGGTGATGGCTTAGGAATCAACTGGGCCCAAATGGTTTTACCATGAAGCATCCCCAACTTTAGATTCTTAGAACTAAAGTTCATCAACAGGCTTTGACTTACTCTATTCTGATATTTTCTTGATCTACTTTTTGCTAATTATTTAAAAAATAAGGTTCACAAACTAGCCAAACAACCAAAATAAATTCTCAATCTTTTCTCTTGATTTGAAAAAGCACATAAATGCTCAACCTAATTCAATCATTTTCAAAGGTAAGATACTAAAATGCTTGGGAAATATTCTAATGACAACCATTTAACAATAACTCCTATGTTGATCATTCTAACATATTTTAAAAAAATCAAAAGCCCATCTTTTCTCTTGATTTGAAAAAGCACATAAATGCTCAACCTAATTCAATCATTTTCAATGGTAAGATACCAAAATGCTTGGGAAATATTCTAATGACAACCATTTGACAATAACTCCTACGTTGCACTAATTAAGAACATCATTCTAACATATTTAAAAAAATCAAAAGCCCAATCTTTTCTCTTGATTTGAAAGCACATAAATGCTCAACCTAATTCAATCATTTTCAATGGTAAGATACTAAAATGCTTGGGAAATATTCTAATGACAACCATTTGACAATAACTCCTATGTTGCGCTAATTAAGAACATCATTCTAACATAGTAGATAAACCAAGAGCAAAAAAGACACTGATGAAATTATCAAAAAAAAAAACTGGCCTGAATATTATATTATCAACCTTGGTACAAAATCAGAACTTTTGTAATGGGTCCTAGGGGCAATTGCTTGTCCACCCCTATGACTTTACAAAATATCTTCTCAAATACAGCGCCTCGAAAAATTAGGAAACCTATAGACAACCCAGCTATCACCTCCCTTACCACAATTATTCTTAGTGCACCAGTTATATGTATGTGTAAAAAAATCAACAAGGACCAAACAAATCACAGCACCATTTAACTGTAAAATGGGGCAAATTACACAATAATCTATCACATCGTACTAATGTTGCATAAGTTTAGTGATAGGATAGAAACCACATCAGCATCATGGACTAAATTTATTCACTTGGTATTTCCTTGCATAAGTTTAGTGATGGCGTAAGTGCATCTGGATATATTTCAATGTTCTGCAAGGAAATACCAAGTGTACAGATAATTATTCCTGGAGACAGGGTACACAAACAATTCTCAATTGATGTAAAATCTAAAGCTAAACATATATAAAACCACAAACTTTGTACTGTAAAATCTAGAATGAAGAAGAAAGTCCATTACACAATCAAGGTAGACAAACACCTCAATATAGTATGACAATCTAACTTAGTGGTTTAAAAAAAATCTGAATAGCTTTTGCCAAAAAAAAATTAAATCAAGGGAAGGTCTACAAACATAACTGTGTAACACACAAAAACAATATATTGTGTGCCTAGCTATTGCACCAGTTCAACATGTCACCCACCTGCAGATTCATTTGTTAGCTCCGCATTCTTGGATTCTAAATTTTGTTTGTCTTCATTAGCATTAGCTCCCTTCGTAGCCCAATTACAACGAATTTGCCTACTGCCAAGCCACTTGCCTGAAACATGTCAGCAGAAGACCATTCAAGTCAAATTTGCAAACCCATGGTCGTCAGTATCATGAGTTAAACTACAGTGATCATCTTATGTTATAATGTAAATACATCAATAAGTGTTGCCCCATTAATCTTGGTATATGTAATCTATGCAATAAGCAACCACTACAAGATCAAGGTCTTTTTTTCCCAACAAGATTCAAATTGTTAACATCTACAGAAACCAGTTAAAAAATAAGACCAATGTCAAACAGCCAGCCTAAGGCAAGATAATTGATGCTAGCGTAACAACAAAGTTGTTGAAGAGCAACTTACCAGACAAGTCATTGATGGCACTTTGAGCCTCCTACAAAAAGAATGGTAAAAGAAAAGGTTCAATCATACTAGAGACCTTAAAAGCTGATTATCAACTGATCAACTGACCTGTTGATTTCGGAAAGAAACAAAACCAAATCCCCTTGAACGCCCAGTTTTTTGGTCCCACATAACCCTTGCATCTCTATAGAAAAAGAAAAACACAGGTGCATGTGGTGACACAAGTTTCACATGAACATTTAGAAAAAAAGAGCTGGTTTGCTAAAGTTCTTACATGACCTAAACATAAAAGGCACCAAAAAATTAAAATTAATAAAATACAGAGACAATAATATTATACATATAACAAATACGAAGGTCAAGAAAACTTACGAGCAGCTCGGATATACAGAAAAGCATGCAAACAAGGTGGCATCTGTGACCTCGGGGCTAAGATCACCAACAAAGATGTTGTATTGCCCTGCATATACCAAAAACAAGATATTTTCCTTATGTCAGTGATTTCCAATACGGTACAAGCCAATCTGAACTGAAGCATAAATTTTGAGAAAGAAATTATCTAAAATTGGACCTGATGTGTCTTCTCTTTGCCCACTGGCATATGCCCAATTAACCTTAATAGGTTGGCCAAACCTGCAAATGCATGCAGCATAAGCATGACAAAGTACTAATAAATGGACAACAAAATACAAAATAGAATTGTCCAACTTACAAATGCCTCCCATTAAGTGCTACAATTGCAAGTGCAGCTGATCGGCGGTCATAATAATCAACGAAACCAAATGATGACTACAAAGTCAAATCAGAACAAGCATATTATAGTTAGAAACTAAAGAAATATACAATGGATTAAATATCAGTCTGTATATATATATGATGCACATTACATGTGCCACAATAAATATTACTAACCACGCCAGTATGCCATTGCACTGAAAACAAGACAACAATAAAGAGCAATACCAAGCATACAGCCAGCTACATACATGCCAAGGTTTTACAAAACAAGACGGGGAATGGGATTAGCTAGTGGACAAGGTCCGCTCAGCAAGTGACATTACTTGTATCATTGTTATCATTACTGACAACATTAGTGGTGTAAGTGACTTGAATTATGTAATTTATCTAATTCATTCATTTAGAAGACACTCCTAAAAGACAACCAAAAAGAACTTTTCATTGGTTTGTCACTACCGGCCAAACAAGTCAAGGTGACAATCATATCGTGCATCCACATGGTACAATGTTGGTACCATAATGATCGAATTGGAGACCAATACTGATACGATGACCACTTAAACTATGGTGAATGCTTTATCCTGCAAGAGTACTAGGATGGCAGACAGAAAAACACAGAACAACTCTCATACAATCAAAGTGAATGAAATGTCGAAGACGTGAAAAATGTGAAAGCGACATATCTCATTCTGCTATAAAGCAAGCTATTTACTGTTGGATCAACATTTAAAACAAACAATGGAAATCCTAACATGCCAATATCCAGGTATGATAAAAAAAAATCATTAATGCAATATTACTAAAATATAAGCTGCCATATATATTGCAGGCAGACAAAAAGGCATCGTTTTGTCATATAACATTATCAAAATGAAAATTATAAACCAAGGCAACCATTAAGAACAAACCAGCATCACACTGTTCACAAAGCAAATGAACATCAATTTAGAAAAGGTTGTAAGCACAAAAGAGCATATTTCTCCATCTTATTAAAATCTTTTATTTCTAATTCACTCAACTTAATGAAAAAATATATAGAACAAGATATTTTTGCAAATATTTGTAAGCCAAATTAAAAAAATATGGGATCCATGAAATTTCATATATAACACTGATACCAGCTTTTCACCATTTCATTAGTGCAGAAAATAAGAACTACACAAGTATTCAAACATCGAGAGAATTTTGAAACCAATTTAAGATCAACGTATTAATTAGCTAAATATATCTAAATTAGCCTATTTTTCACACTGATGTCAAAACTGAAACTGGAATCCTAAAGAAAAAAATCCGGGGGAAAAAACACCACAATAGAATGAGTTATATTGAAGAATAGAGAGGTAACTGACCTTTTCTTTCCTAATGAGCTTGCACCCTTCGACGGGACCAGTACTTTGAAAAACCTCTTGAAGAAGGGCTTCAGTAACCTGAAGATGCACATTGCCTACATACCTGGGAAAAAAATATCAGATCATATGACTAATCACCATATGACGACAAACAAAATTTAAAAAAATTCAAAGCACATTTTCAAACATCCTCAAAACACGCCACTGATTTTAATGATGGAGGGGCTCTAACATTCTATATTTGCATATAATGACATGACAGGCCCTCATAAAAAATCCAAGTTATTTATTAGAATAGATAAACAAAAAATACTGGCGTATGATATCATATCTCCAACTAACAGGTCCAGAAACAAAAACAGTATCACTATTACGAATGTGCCATATATAAAAGAGGGTACCAATCAAGATGATTATGAAATTCTATATAACTAAAACAACAACTTGCAGAGAACAGGCTAAACAATGGAAAAACTGAAAGAATGGAATCCCCCCCCCCCACTAATCCACAATCAAGAGAGGAAGTAACTACACTAAAAGAATAAAAGGCATAAATTGTATGAGCAAAAAGATCAAAAGGAAAAAAAAAGCCCTAATGACACTCACACACTGCGACATGTGCTTGGATCAAATCCAGGAGGCAGATTCCCACTTAAGATTGGCTCTATCTGCAAAATAAAAGTGCAAATGAATAGGAAAACAGGAAAAAAAAAATAGGCCCCACACACAAAATAAAAAAAAGAAACTCATAAAATTAAAGTAATCCTAAGCCTAATAAATAACTATATAAATCAGAAAATTCCACCAATAGAACAACAAGCATCTCCAAATACTATCTCTCACTTAAGTTTCCACAATAGTAACAATCATCTTTCACATCCCAGGGATTTACACCAAACTCTAATCCTTTAGCCTTCAATAGTGATAAATATGAACATGAAAAGCCAAAAGAACTAAGTATGAATATAAATGGCAAGGTTAACTAAAAAGGTTACTAATGCTCTTCCCTCAGCATTGCCGAAGACTTGAAATGAACTTGCAAATGAAAATTGAAAATTCGATAATCTTTATACAAACAACTTGGTTGATTCAAGAAAAAGAATAACACATAACAAGTATGACGCAATACTATGGAACAATTTCTAGAATGTAAATATGATCTCCCCAACCCCTCCACCCAAAAAAAAAAGAAATGATTTTTTCAAGCAGCAATAATTTATAATAAAAAGATCGCCACAAGATGCATAGACTCTTAATTACTACGACGTTAAAGCAACGATACGAAGAAATGGAGCAGTCCCAAATGCCCCAAAGGTAAAATTTCAGAAAAATGTAACCGAAATAGAGCTGATCAGGAAACGAGGGTACGGTGCCAGAAAAACCCTGGTTTGTGGATTGCTGCATAAATTTACTACCAAGAACCCTCGAAAAGAGGGAACGACGAACAACATGAAGAAAACCCCAATTTCGTAATCCAACACATAAAAACCCTCATTTCGAGATCCAAGAACCCTAACATCCATCATAAAATAAACATATTCTGCGAGCTACACATGGGGACAAAAATTCAAATTGAGTAACAGAAACTGCACACTACGACCAAGGATGAGATTTTTAAGAAAACATCGCAACCGATCCGGAAAAGGGAATTTGAGGGCGAGGCGTGGGAGGGACCTGAGGTGCGGCCAAGAGGCCAGGGTGGGGGTAGAGGGACTGCTGCTGCTGCTGCTGCTGCTGCTGGACGAGGAGGGCTTGCTGCATCAAAGCCTGCTGCTGCTTGAGCCTCAGCTGCTGCATCCTTTCTCGCGCTAGGGCTTCCACGCACCACTCCGATCCGATACTGATCCTATGGAGGGTGATAGGATTAAGGTTTACGAGGAAATAAAGACGGAAAAAAATTCAAAAAAAAACCCTCGAAATCGAGGGGGGGAAAAAAGAGACGAAGAAGAAGAAGAAGAAGAAAAGGGGTAAGGAGAGCGCAATAGTGGGTCGAAAAGAAGGAAAGATATCGGCCGCGGATGCGAGTACTTAGAGCATCAGAGGCAAGATTTGGGATGATGCCGTCCGATGTCCTCTCTCGTGACATATGTCGTAAAACTCCGGATCACGAATTAAAACAAGCCTAATTATAATTGAATTCTCTTTAATCAAAGGATTTAAGAATGGAATATATTAAGGGGAAAGATAGTGAAATATGATCAACTTAGTAAATAAAAGGATTAGTCAACTCAGGATTTGACGTCCAAATAAATAAAGAATTTGCTATGGTCCTGTCGAGGTAAACAACTTTGTGTCGTGTCTCGGGACTGACACGGCTTGGTTCGGGGCCGAACGACGGGGATCTTTGCTCGGGGTTTCTTGGGGCTGTTGGAGTGACCGATTGCGCGGACCACCTGGGATCGTCTGGACGCCCTAGGGAAGGCACCTCCCCCCGTGTCTCGGGGAAATCGCCTTGTCTCCCTACCTGCGCACAGGTCGGGTCGGAAGCTCAGCCCGACCGCTCCGACGATCAAGTTAGAGGATGTGGAGTGGAGTTTGTCGTCTATCTTCCTCCCCCATTGTTTGGAACTTGGGGGTATTTATAGGGAAGTTTAGTGTTACCTGACGTGCTTGCCTGCAGGAGCAGGATCGTACCTCTGATGGCGTCTGATATTGCCGTTGGCGTTGCGTGAAGAATCGAACTGCCGCAGGGCATGGGCGTGCCTCGGTCGTCGTTCTCCTCTGCCTCGGCCAAGTATGTTGGGTCGTTGTCTGAGAGCGGGTGACGTCAACGCACATCACGTCGACATTATTGCCCTCTTTGGGCAGAGTATCGTCCAGGCGTGGCTGACGCCGTGGCGTGTTACGTTGTCATTTATTATCCCCATCAGGTCCAATCTTATTCAACTGTAATTAATTTACTTGTTCAGGTTACAACCCTATCATTTGCATAGTAATCTAAAGGTTTTATAGGTATCCGCAAAACCTATATCCACAAATTCCGGCCAGAGTAATGATTTTTGGGTGATATCACATATGAATCAACGATCAGAAATAAATCCTCCTTCCCTTTATTAAAACATCAACAGGGCTAATTACAATTTTCTCTTTTAAATATTATATTGGGTTACTATATCTTCCAAATTATTATATTTTTAGTTTTAATAATACCATCTATTTTTCTTTTTACGAAATCCTTTGGTATTATATAAAATTATTATTATTATTAGTATTATTATTATATATATATACATATATATATATATATATATATATATATATATATATATATATATATATATATATATATATATAACTCTCATACATCTTACCAAAAGATTTTGGGTCATTTTCTCACTAAAGCCCCTCATAAATACTTTTTATTAAATAAAGTTCCTTTATTGAAATTTTATTTTGATCCACTTTATATTTATTTATACTTAAATAAAATTATTAATAAAATCATCTTAAAATTTTAGAAATTATATTAACATCACATTTGACTTGAATGATGAAAATATCAAGTGGTTTGGAGTCAAGTTGTTACGCCTGAAAATAAATAATATTATATTTTGATAATATGTTTAAGTATTTAACATGATAATACATCAATTTTGATATAAATTAACAGAAAAAATAAGTGAAAGTATGAGGTGATACAAGAACTTCATATTATTATAGTATGAAATGAACCGAAATATAACACGAAAACATAATCTAAATTTTTAAAAGTTACATTAGAATATACATGGTTTCAAAATTATTATATATTTTTTTATTTTTAAAAATATTAATTTTTTTATAGAATCTTTATTTATGGAAAAAAAATTTTGTGGTATTTGAACATTTAAGACACATTTTTGTGGGATTAGATTTATACGTGATTTATGGAAAAGAAAGAAAGTGAACGAAAACAAGAGAAAAAAAAATGCAAACTAAAATGTATAATATCCTTATTTTGTCCACAGGTCGAAGAAGATTAAAAGTTCACGTGTGGGCTGAGGATAGCATCAGAGATCTTCGATTTGCGGATAAGAGGCCTCCATGGCTTGTTTAGCACCCCCTTCTGCTGTCCACTATCGCTGTTCTAATCATTTCCTTTGGCCCAAATCGCATTTCCCCACCCGTAAGTTCCCATCGACTCAAACAACCACCGGAACTGATCGAACTTACCC